TAGGTTTAGCTTTTGGCTTTTTAACTCCACTTGAAGCTTTCTTAGCCGCTTTTTTTGCTTCTACTGGTGCTGCTGGAGAAACTGCTACTTCTGCGTTTTCGGCCATATTTTTAAATCCAAAAAATTACTTTTACTTTATAATTTTAAAATAAAAATTCAAATTCTTATAAAATTACAACTTTTAAATATATGTATGAGTTTCACTTTGAAGTATATTTTATTCTTGTTATACGAGTATTTATTATTTTGTTTGCTTGCTACACAAATACAAAATATTGGAAATTTTGTTCGCAACAAAAATTATAGCCTTAAAAAACATGAGAATTACATAGAGTCGATATACAAATATTTTTACTATAATTTTAAAACATCCTTTAAATTTATTTGATACCCTATCACTATTTTTACTATTTTTCTCATTAAAGTCAAACAATTCTTAAAAATATATTTCAGTTTTAAAATTTACATATTATGTAATTATTAAAAATATATAAAATTTGCAAAATATATTTGAATTAATATGAAAATTTCACTTAAATTTACTCAAAGTCCTTCGTAATTTTAACTTCTTATGAATATTATTATTAAATATTAGTATTATTTAATTTTATATAAGTATTTTAAAACATTTATAATATTTTTCAAATTTATAAAATTCATTTAAAACACAATTGTCTCATAAAAATATAATAATAAATAGAAAAATCTTAGTTAAATGATGATTATTCCAAGCAATAATTTCTAAATTGAAATTTTTCTTCTAATTAAATTTTAAAATATTTATTAAGTTTTTTTATTCTTTTAAGCAATTAATCTGTTTATTTTTGTTATAATTTTTTAAATATTATTTGAAAAACATATATTTAAATAATTTTACAAAATAAATATATAAAATATAAATTAATAAAAAAGGAAATAAGTATGCATGTACATATTGTATATGCTTTTGTTCTATAAGTTACAAAAATTCTTTTTTTTTTTTTTAATAAAACAACACTAATAATACAATATTAATAATAAAATCTTATTTTAAGTGGATTTTATATAAAATCAAATATTAAGTTTTAATAGAAAATTAATATTCTAAAGTATTAAATCAAGGTGGATAAATATACATGGGTATATAATGGTTTTATACGTATATAATAAGGGTTACTAAAATGAAATCAATCATAAAACATCAAAATTTAAGATAATTAAGATATAAGATTAAGTACATTGTTGTGTAATAAATAATGCACATGTTTTTATGTATATATATATATATATATATATGCGTATGAATGTTATATGGTATTTAAAAATCACAAATTTTGTTTACAAGATACAGATTTTATAGCATACAAGTATTCAATATATGTAGATCTTGTTATTAAATTGAAAATTATAGCAATTTGTTGAAATTTGACTTCCACAATTAAGTCTGGCCGATAGGGAGAAATATAAATTAGTGCTAAAGAAATCATTTGTACACATTTAATCAAATAAGACACTATTTTATATATAAAGATATATCATAAACAACATTAAGTAGAATTTTTAGTATAAGCATATAGGTATACACGTATAAATTTAAAAAAAAGTATCACTCTTAATAAATAATTATACATAATATTAATATGAATATAAATGTACTCATATGATTTTGAAAAATCATTTGTACAAATAAATAAGTTTGTACAGAACTTCTAGAATACAAAATAAGCATAATGATACTCGTAATATGGACTCGTATACATATTATACATAAAAGCCTAAACAAATGAATTACAAAATATGAAATACTACATGAAAATAGATTAAATACAATATGGTCAGATAAAATTATATAACTAAAGATTTGAGAAGAAAATTAAAAGATATTAGTTAATTTAAGTGATATTGACTTGGAAGATCATTAATAACTACTAAAGTTAAGTAACGATAATTTTATTGATGAATTTATAAAAACATCAATATGTATAAGTTTAAAATATATATTTTTTTAATATAGTTGTACTAAATACAAGCTATTATTAGTATTTAGGTATACATATTATACTACCCTCCATCATGTGTGTATACGTGTGTTTTAATATTTATAAAAATTTTAAACAGATTAAAAAACGTATGTATGTACAAGGTTACATACATTTTAAAATATCTATATGTCATTTGGTATTTAAAATTTATTTGAGAAAAAATCTGTAATAAATACCTATGTATATATACAACTATGTAGTTGATTTTATATTTTCTTTACTCTTAAAATAGTATTTTATAGTCCTTAAAAGGACTTTTTTTTAATTTTAAGCGAATATTATTTGCGTACGGTCAAATTTATTTATTTTGAACTTGTATATTTAGTAACAGCTTTTGTACCTTCACTTACAGCATGTTTTGCTAGTTCGCCAGGTAATAATAATCTAACAGCAGTTTGAATTTCACGACTAGTTATTGTTGATCGTTTATTGTAATGTGCTAAACGAGAAGCTTCTGCTGCGATTCTTTCAAATATATCATTTACGAAACTGTTCATGATACTCATAGCTTTTGAAGAAATTCCAGTATCTGGATGAACTTGCTTCAAAACTTTGTAAATGTAAATAGCATAACTTTCCTTACGTTTACGTTTCTTTTTCTTATCACTTTTCGAAATGTTTTTTTGAGCTTTGCCAGCTTTTTTTGCTGCTTTTCCGCTTGTTTTTGGTGGCATTTTTTACTATCCTTCTGCTTTTGCTTTTACTACAAAAATTTCTTCAATTTCAATTCAATACAATACAAATATGAATATGAATTTAGATGTAGATGTAGATGTAGAATACACAATTGATACCTATTTCTGGAATACAACAATATTTATGAATTTTGCTTTCTCCCCTCCAATAAAAATATTGACGCACATTTTACGTTTGAAATTTTTTGCACCGTGTTTTAGATGAAAATAAAAAGCATAAATATTATGATATTTTCCATATAAAACATTAGTATTTGAATTGATCTGATTCAAATTTTCTGTGTTTATTGCTATAATCTACGATTGTGTACAGTACAAGTACAGTACAGATTATTAAATATTTTAAGTTGTATCAAATAAAAAAAAAAAGAAATCATTAAAAATGTCAGGACGTGGTAAAGGTGGAAAAGTTAAAGGAAAAGCAAAATCTCGTTCTAATCGTGCTGGATTACAATTTCCAGTTGGTCGTATCCATCGTTTATTAAGAAAAGGTAATTATGCCGAACGTGTTGGCGCTGGAGCTCCTGTTTATTTAGCAGCTGTAATGGAATATTTAGCTGCTGAAGTTCTTGAATTGGCTGGTAATGCTGCAAGAGATAATAAAAAAACCAGAATTATTCCAAGACATCTTCAATTAGCCATCCGAAACGATGAGGAATTGAACAAATTGTTGTCGGGTGTTACAATTGCTCAAGGTGGTGTATTACCAAACATTCAAGCTGTATTATTACCAAAGAAAACTGAAAAGAAAGCCTAAATAACCTCAACGAAATTAACAATTTTACTATTTAAAACTAAAATTTAATATAGAAAAAAAATAAAACGTCTTTTTCAAGACGACAAAAAATTTATTAAAAGAGAAATTTTAAAATTTAATATCTTTCAATTACGAATTACGAGTATCATATTGCATACATAACAACTCAATTCAATATTCGATACAAATAAATATTTCATTTTTTCAATTTAAAAATCATTTTAATTAAAATGAACCGAATTATTTTTAATATTATTCTAATGAAGAATCTATGAAATCTATGAAAATTCGAAATGAAAATTATTTTAAATATTTTTTTAAAAAATTTATGATCTATTAAATAATAATTTTATTTTATTTTATCTATATTATTCATTCTTTGATAAAATTAAAAATATGATTAAAGTATAAAAATTCAATTTTTTAATACGAAAAAAATTTTTCGCATTCATTTAAAATGAATTTATTATATTATTAATATTATGGAATTTAATGGAAGAGAAGCTTCATTTTAAAATACTCTTTTTATATTTTTTGATGGCCTTGAAAAAGGCCTTTTGTATATAAATATTAAAATAATTTAACCTCCAAAACCATATAGAGTACGGCCTTGTCTTTTCAATGCATAAACAACATCCATTGCAGTTACAGTCTTTCTTTTAGCATGTTCTGTATATGTAACAGCATCTCTTATAACATTTTCTAAGAAAACTTTAAGTACACCTCGTGTTTCTTCATATATCAATCCTGATATACGTTTCACACCGCCACGACGAGCTAATCTTCGAATAGCTGGTTTTGTAATACCTTGGATATTATCACGCAAAACCTTACGATGACGTTTTGCACCACCTTTTCCTAATCCTTTTCCACCTTTACCACGACCAGTCATTATTATTCAATTAAAAGTTACAAAAAAATTACAAATTAAATTTGATAAATTTACAACACAACTGAATGTTGATTACTGAACTAAATTCTTCGATTTTCCTCTTATATTTATGCATATTATTTCTTTCAATACACACACATTTTTCTTTTCAATTATTTACTACTACTACAACTCCAAAATACAACTACTATTTTATGACTTCAGTATCAGTTCCTAGTCCTACAGTCTATTGGCTAACCAAACCCAACACTTTTGCAAAGGCGGTTTGCGTTCGCGCCTTTTTTCCTTTAATTAAAGTGCACTCAGCACTATGCAAATTTATACATTTCTTCGATAATAATTAATATATTTTACTTTTTTTACTACATTTTAAATCCCAATTCTATTCTAAACATTAAAAAATAATAGAATTTATTGTAAATTTTATATAAATTGTATTTGGATTTGTGTTTGTGTTTGGGTTTGTGTTTGTGAAGAAATCGAGAAAACGTATTTGTATTGGTTTTTCTCATGAATACTATAAATATTTGTATGCGATGTGGTACATAAAATTATTCTTTTTGATTAGTGAAGTGAAGTGGTACACATCGTAATCGTATTCGTATTGTAATTTTTCCGGTTTCATTCTGAATAAGATATTGAATTGAAAAATGGCTCGTACAAAGCAAACAGCCCGTAAATCTACTGGTGGTAAAGCACCACGTAAACAACTAGCAACTAAAGCAGCAAGAAAAAGTGCACCAGCAACTGGAGGAGTAAAAAAACCTCATCGTTACAGACCAGGTACAGTTGCTCTTCGTGAAATTAGACGTTATCAAAAGAGCACTGAATTATTAATTCGCAAATTACCATTTCAACGTTTAGTTCGTGAAATTGCTCAAGATTTCAAAACTGATTTACGCTTCCAAAGTTCCGCTGTAATGGCTTTACAAGAAGCTAGTGAAGCTTATTTAGTTGGTTTATTTGAAGATACAAATTTGTGCGCTATTCATGCTAAAAGAGTTACAATTATGCCTAAAGATATTCAATTGGCCCGTCGTATTCGTGGTGAACGTGCTTAATTATTATATTTAAATATTTTATTTAAAAATCAAACGGTCTTTTTCAAGACCATAAAATTTTAAAAAAAAAGTAAATTTAAACCAATTTGTCTATAAATAATGAGCCTTATTCTAGTTGTCGAAGTAGAGCGACAATTGTCGTTACGACTTGAATTTGATATTCTAAGCGATGATCGCAGTGACACTTGTCGGGGAATAGCGGGAAAATGTATTTCAGCCTTATTCCAGTTGCCGTTCTTTTGCGAGATATGTAGTACGTTTTTATGTAGAGATATGATACGACGTTTTTTGTCGAAAAGTATTTTACAAATGATAAACAAGAAGGGTACACCAAAAATCCAAGTTAAAACAACAATTTAACAAAATCATAAAAAAAAATCTATATAATTTTATACATAAATTAAGTCATAAAATATATATGTACATATGTATGTACATAATTTAATTTTTGTTTTAATGACATTTTTTATTATTTAAAAATATAAATATAGGTACCTATATACTGAAAATTTTTTTAGTTTTTTACTCGTCGAAATTTCTTTTGAAAATGAAACGCATTGAAAGTGAAACGTAAGTGACACGACAATTAGAATAAGGCTCAATATATATTATAGAATGCATAATAAATCAATCAAAAGTTATAACAAAAATAATCTCATTCAATACTTTTCTTTAAAATTCAATTTAAAAATTCAGCATTTTTTCATTTTACTCTTTAACTAAAATATTGTTAGCCTTAATAAAGGCTTTTTTTATATACAGTATACGGATGTTATGTAATATGTACTTACATTCATATACATACTTACATCATTATTTAAATTCAGATGGTAAAAGTACTTTATTTTTTTCCTGCAGATTTTTTGGCAACTGCTTTTTTGCTCCACCTTCTGTGTATGAACACCTCGTACAATTTTGATATGGGTTGTATGATTCAACTTCATGTAGATTTTTCCCAGGTTTGGCAAGTGCCAAAATCTTTTCTTCTGTCTGGTGGCATAAATGCATTGTTGTACATATTGTTCAAAATAATCGTAACATATATTTTCATGCTGTTTGGAATTTTTTTTAATAAGTACATCGGAATTGCATCGTTCCCAGCTGATTTTTTGCTGTTTCTTGTTTTTAGGATGTCACATAGTTCCTCTACCCTAATGAACTGGCAGTATGAACTGGTACAATATTGTTTATGTTTAACAAATACTTTTGAAAATTGACGTTTATCACATACTTATAGTTTTTAAATTTTTTTCAAGTTTTCCGTCTGGTTTATTTTTTTTTTTAAATGAAAATTTTTTTTCTCTTTGCGAGAAATTACGTCATTGTTTCTTTTTTTTTTCAAGTTTTATCCCAAACAGAAATATTATAAAGAATTAAGAATCTTTTTTTTTCCTTGAACATCTTTTAATTTCATTAACAGATTTGTCAATAAAAATTTTTACGGTTTTGACAATTGGGAAGGTCTATACCGGTTGAAATTTTATAAGTTTTAGAAACATATTTTTGAGAAACTTTTTCTTGAATGAAAACTTCTCTCCTTGGAAGTCCTTGGAAAGAATGGTGAAAATTTTATTTTCTTCATATTTTTTCTGTTAGCCGCTAGAACAGACCAAAATCAATGCAAAACACAAATTTTTTCAATTTTTATATTTTTATTTCAATAATTCACAACATTTTCCTTTCAATCCATATATGAAATTATAATATACATATTTATTAAGTATTACTTATTTTATTTAAAGAAAGCTATGTAAATTCAAATTCAAATAATTAAAAATTTTTTTTTTTAAACTAGAAAATGTAAATGTTATACACGTATCTACATAATATAAAAAAAATAAGTTAAATATGTGGCATATACATATATACATATATTTGCGTATTTTGATGACAAAAAGAAAAATATCTATGTAACAAGAACATGTAAGTATAAATAAATGTTTATTTAAAGTCGAAAAGAATTATATGATCACTTTTAGATATAAGTGACGAATCTTTTGTTTTAGAATAAAGACCGATAAATATCGAAGAAAAAAGACACTTTGGTGTAAGAATTGTTTAAAATTTAATCAACAACTAATACAAAATGAAAAATATTTCGAGCCCAAAAGAGGAACGCAATACCAACAAACTTTGTTAGGCCAAGGGTCAGTTTCAGTGGCATCACAACAGGTGAAAAATCAAAACACACAACTGACACAAGTAATGAACGCCTTAGGAGCGAACCAAACTTTCAACTTGAATTAAATGAGTACCCGAAGTTACGCAAGGACAAAATGGGGAACAAGAAAAATGCTCTAAATGAATATACGGAGCACAAAAATAAAAAACATCAAAACAGACAGAGAAATGAAAGACATAATAAAGACATTGAAGTAAAAGAGATAAGATCGTGAGTCATCAGTTGATATTCGAGCGTGATACAGTTAACATGTTATTACGGCAAATATTAAAAAGTTTAGTTTTGTTTTAATTTTAATTTATGTGTATAAATATAAATTGAAATGAAAAATAAAAATTAAATTAAAAATTAGTGAAAAAGGACGCTTAAGTATTAAAACAGTGAAGCACTTCTGGTGCTAATTTTAATCTAAACAAAATATATTTTTAGATATATAGTGAATTTATAAATAGATTATAGTAAAGTTATAAAATTATTGCCTCCTGTGATGGCAGAGACCGTCGTCTCACAACAAATGCTCGCAGAATTTAGAAAGCTACAAGCTGAAAATGCGAAGCTTATGCAACTACTGCACATGTTGCAAGCAGAAAATAAGGATCTGAAGAAAAGTTTGCAAGGGAATCACTTGGAAAGTGACGGGGATGAATCCAATGTAGAATTGGAGCAAGATTTTCCCGCTTTGGGAACAACACGGAAAAGAATCTCCCAAAACATAAAGCAAAGCAGCAAAAAGGAACAAACCACCAAAAAACAAAAAACTAATTCGGTAGTTCGAGAAAAGGCCGCAGAAAATGTAATTGCTGAAAATGGCAAAAGCAGTAAGCCGCCAGCAATTATAGCCTTTTATAAGAACCATAAGGAAATACAAAAAAAAAAATAAAAAACAATTTGAATAATGATAACACCGTTTTACATCTAAAGGAGGAATCACTCAAAATTCAATGCCTTACAAAATGTGATTTTGAAAAAACAAAAGAACTGTTAAAAGCTAACAAAATCAATTATTATACTTTTACGCCGAGAGAAGAAAAGCCTTTCTCGATGGTTCTCAAAAATATTATAACAACATACTAGGCTGATGAAATAAAAGCGGCATTAGAACAAAAACTCACTGCCATTAAAATAACCAATATTAGGCATTTGGCTAGAACCAGCTGGTTGGTGCAAGTAGCAGATAGCGAATCTACGAAACTATTGAAATAACTTAAGTCTATATTAGGAATTGCAATTAAAACTGAAAGATATAGAGGAAAAAAGATTTTTCAATGAAATAATTGTCCAAGTTAGAAGAAGCTTTTTAGAAAACTCGAAAGAAGGTATCTTAGACATGCAACTGGCTTCTTTAGAAAAGATGATAACTTATGGTACAGCAATCAACATCTGTTGATTGCTGTACCATAGCAGCAAAGCAAAAATAATAAGAATTGACAACTATCTTACACAATAAGCAGTGAAATTCATCGACAATATTAACAACATACAGAATAATTTAACTCAAGACATCCTAAACTACAATGTGCAGCTTACCGAGAAATGGTATCATATAGGACATCTTAAGCTGCTAAATCAACGAAATCTCCTATTTTGGCAGAACAAAGAAATAATGAGCGGCACTCCAATGCACAATACACTTAGTTTATAAAATATTATTTAGTTATAAGTAGATAAATAAGTGTTATATAGTTTTACAAAAAAAAAAAAAAAAAAGTTAAAACTGTAATCTTAATAACTAATCCTTCTCAATTAAAACTGTAAGCCACTAAAATAAAATTAAATTGTTAACACAATTAACTATAAGTAAAAATTTTGACAAAGATATAATCTCTATCTGTAAAATTAATGTTTAAAATTAAAGAAAACATTACAAATGTATGACTATGTAAAACATAATGGTGATAAATAAATCAAAATCAGAGAAAACACCGTGAAGTTAAAGAGATAATATGGAATAAATAAAATACCACAAATACCTATGTTGGAAAGGACTAATAATTCAGGTTTATTCTTATAATGAGTTCAGGAGTTAATAAAAAACATAAAGCAAATCCGAATGCAATCTGCAATTAAAAACCATAATGAATAACATTGATATTTTAATATAAGAATAAACAACGCATAATAATTTCTGAAAGTCAAAACTTGCATAAGAAAAAATGGACAGGAACGTCTTCAAGGATATAAAAAAAATTGGGGATATAAAAAACTAGCCTCTTATCACTGCACTAGCCAATCATGCGAACCGACAATTGGATAGTTTGCGTTCGTTAATCTTTAGTGATATCGTAAAAGCTTATAAAACTAGAAACACATCTGCTAATTGATATTAATCAGTTAGCAGAATATAGCACAAAATAATTTAAAACTAATGTATTTGGTGAAAAGGTTTCCTGAAAGAATGCCTAAATGTATGCTTGTTCTTCAACAACGTTTTTAACACCACTTACATACCGCGTGGTTGAAAAGAAGCTACTGAAATCATGCAAAAATGCTCAACTACTTAGAAACTACAGGCCTATTTCATTTCTATCTAATAGATCAAGTCTATACGACGTTTTGTTCATGATTTTCAATTTGATTTTAGAACAACACATGAATTTACCACATTATCAGCAGACATAGCGTTTGAAAAATAGAAAATAACCAATGTCGTGGGAATTAATATACAAGAGCCCTTTGACACCGTTATGCAGAAAAGAATAATTTATAAAAATCATCCATGTACAGTTCAAAAACATATAATATGCTTTAATATATTGTGCAGTACAATTTCAAAATCATTGCCATACAATGCAATGGCGCCATAAAATTATTCAATAAAATTCTGAACCATAAGTGAGAATTTGAAACAGAAAATAAAACTGGTATTTTATAAACAGATATAAACAGTTCGATATGGCACCACGCCTAATGCAACTTTAAGAATCTTCGAAAGCAAATTCCTAAGGCACGCCACTGGATTATATATGAAAAGCAGAACAAGGCATCATCGAAATCAAGAGGTCTACAAGAAAGAAAAAATCATCAGAATTGAATCACCTAGTAAGACAAACATTAAAAGACAAAAACAACAAACCGGCTATAATTACGTGAAAACTGCAAAATTGAAAACATAATAAACCATGTGGCGAACCTCATCGATGAATTCTTCATTATAAACCACATAAGATTACTACGTCAAAAAACAGCTTATTCAAATACATGAACTTAAGCTGTAACGATGCCCAATATGCCGAATAAAAAAATTAACTGTATATAAGTTAATCGTAGGTTAAGCAAAAAGACAAAATATAAATTTTGAGTTTTCACCTTTTCTGAAACATAAGAATAATAATCTAAAAATAAATTTTAAATTTAAAATTATAAAAATTTTAAAGAAAACCTTATGTAATATCAGGCTTTAAATTAAAAGTAAAGAAAATAACTATTAATATATTAAATCTTAAAATGTATTTTTTAAAAAACGTAGTCAATTAAAACTAAAAAAAATATATATGTGTATACTTGAAATATGATAAATCTAAAAAAAAAACCCTAAAAAAATTGCTAATTACAATCACTTTTTACTGTTTCGGAAAATTTTCCATAATAAATTTCATTTATTTTCCTATGTTAATGTATAATAACATATTTTAGTTCTTATTAATAATTCCACAACCACAAGCTTATAATCAGGATTTACTTTTTTGTTCTTTTTGAGATTCTAAAACTTCAAATAAGATTCTTCACTTAAAATAAATATTAATTAAAGATATAGATTTTTGAGGACGCAAAATTAATTTTCTATTGATTTTTTATTTGTTTTTAATAGTTGAAATTTTACATTTGAACTTAATTACTTATTGAAATACCTTCTTAATAAACGAGATTCTATAAACCGATTTGCTTAAATAACATTTTTCTATTAAATTTATCCAATTAAAGTTATAGCAAATTAAACTAATTTTAATTTAACCAAAATGTGAATAAAGTGGAAACCAAACTTTATTAACAATGTTGTAGCATTAGTTATTATTATCACAATATTGTATTAGAACTTGAATAATAAAAAAAAACTTTGATTATTATTAGCTTAACAACAGGTAACTAATAAAAAAAACTAGAAATATCACAAACAAAAAACGTATAAATTTTTTTTAAAAACATTGGTTTAGTTCTCTTAGCTTATCAGTATTTCCAACGTATGCATATTACTGTCTCAAAAATATTCGTTTGTTTAACTTAATTTTATTTTTAAAGTAATTAGTCAATTTTGGCAATGTACAGACATACATATTTCTTATAAAACATAAATCAAAATAAAATAATTTTTTTATAAAATTTTAGGCTTAATAAAATAGGATTATATATTGAATATAAAATTTATAACTATCACTTATTCCTACACAGAAACAGGTCCAGTGTCTGCAGTATCCATTGTAATATCAGAACTGGCAATGTCAACAATTGTAGGGTTGGCATAAGTTAACGCAGCCATATTAACATTACCTGATGACATCGTTGAAGTATTCGGAGGTGGATATGCTGGCTTATGTCCAGGTGCTGTAGGCTCTTCGGGACTGCCATGCATCATTAGATCTAGCTCGGACTGCGATAATTTACCGCTCATTAATTTTTCCATTTTAATAAAACTTAAATTAGGATCATTTTCTACATTTTGTTCAATAGCACGTTCTACATTGGTTTGGTAATGAGTTGTAGGAATTGTGATAATGATATTGTGTTGTGATGTTTATGTCGAATTACCAAGAATACGAGTATATAAGTTTATTCAGCATTCCAAAAAAAAACGTTTAAATATTAATAAAATAAAAAAATAAATCCATATGTGATATATACTTAAGTAATTAACTAATTAAAAAATTATAATTAATGGATTTATTATATCTAAGCACTAAGATGCATGATTTTTAAAAAAATAAATCTCAAAAATAAACAGTAGTAATATATGAAATTAAGCGAAAGTAAAATACAATTAAAAAAGAAAAAGTACTATTTCTTATCTGAAACTTTTACTTATGAAAAAATCAAATTAAGTGTGTTTTTATTTTAATTCAAATAAAATGAAACAAGATTTATTGAAATCAAAAACTACTTGTTAAATTAAGTTTTGGAGAACTTAATTTTTCGAAAACTTAGGGTGTACTGGCTAGAATTGAAAAAAACATTTTATAATTTAAAAAGAAATCTTTACAAAAAAAAAAGTTCAATATCACGGTTTTTAAAATGTTTCAAAAATTCACATTTCGAGGTAAATTCATTGATACGTCGAATTAAGACGATCTACTTTTAAAGATGCTCTCATTTTTCTAATAAAGGTTCATCGCCTCGCCTGAAAATGCTGAACTTATTGTTTTCGATATTATTTCATTTCATTTATTCATTTGAAATGAAATTTTACGTAATTTTTTTGCGGTATAAAATGACATTTCCCTACTAAAATTGAAATTGCGTACTGCACCTGCTTCGGGTTTGGAGGCTATTCTTGGTGATGAATTGGTGTTAGAGGTGTCGATTGGACTGTCCGATAGCTGTGAAGTTTTCCGGAAGGCATTAAATAAAACTAGAGACGAAATTAGGGGTCTTGTGCGTGGGAGTTCGGACGTGCAGTGTGGCCATAGCGTTGTGACCTTGTAGGAATGAAAAGAGATCGAAAACGTTTTTAGCATACAGTAGGGCCTTCTCTTACAATGGTCAGGGGTTTCTGTCGGACACCAATGAGGTTGAATGATTCCTGTAGATGGTTGTTGGAATTTGCATAACTTAAGTGGTAGCCAAGTGTTACTCTAACACTCGTTCTCTTACTAGCAACTAGGAAAGCTGAAGTTGATTCAAATTTTTTAGAGAGAAAAAAAGCTGTGCAGAAAATATATAAAGTAAGAGAAATTCAAATTTTCATGTGAAATATATGCGCGTGCATTACTTCGGTTGTTGCAAGAAGAACCAATATATTCAGTTTAAGGAAAATTTTAGCTTTTTTAATTTAGAAAGTTTAATTCTGGTTAGCTTTGACTTCTGTTCTGCAAATACACTCTTAATTTACGAAACTATTCACAAATCACTCAAAAAATATCATGCCTACACGTTTAAATAATTTTTTAACAAAAAAATAACATTTTAAAAAAAACGGTATCACAAAAAAATTTTTTTATATTACCTGCTCGAGCTCTTAAAGTTTCTTGTTTTATAATTATTTCATTTGTAATGTAGGCTTCACGACGTATTTGATCACGTAGGTCAGTGCTCATATCTGGTATGCACCATCGAACTAATATCATAACTAGTGCCACAAAATTCTAAAACGATATAGATAATTTCAAAAATCAAAACATAAATACATATATTTTGACTTTGAATTGTTAGATATACCTCAAATAAAACAACAAATCCTAAACGACAGGCTAAAATAATGTAATATTCGTTCGTCAAATCATACTTATCTGGCGAATTTGGGGGAGCCCTAAAATCATTATATCTAAAATTTTAAATTTTTTATTATAACTTTTCGTATTAGTGTAAAGCTAAAACGTACCTACAAACCGTTATGTTAGACTGCAGCGATGCCGGGTTTCTTTTAATTTCAAAATCATTTGTATCAAAATAAGCTAGGGTATAATTTAAATATCCTTCTAATGATTTGTCTTCTGTTTTTCTGTATAAATATACAAGACGTGGTATAAAATCAGATGTAAAAGCTATGATAAATCCCTGTAATCGAACAAAATTTTTTTAAAGTTAGTTATGTTTATACATATATAATTTTTTCAACTAACATTCGTTATAACGCTTAATTTTCCAATGCTGTCTAAAATTCGGTACCATACTCCAATATCCTTTACTCTTTGAGAGACAGGTCGTCTATAATATGTTAATAACTTTTTTGCATCCAAACGCATTTCTAAAATGTTATTCAATAATGCAAATAAAGGTGCCAAGGGAAAGGCAGTAACAAATATGGTTACAAATCCGTATTGTAAAACTAAGATAAGAAAATAAAATTAATTCAAAAATTACTATTTTCTAAATTTGTATATAAAAAGTTTACTTACCCATTTCTAAATATTCAGGGAATAAACTTCTTGGTCCCCATTCAACTAACTTTAAATCACGCAGCCACCTATCTCCAGTTCCTTTTTTCATTTTTTTACTTTTATTCCTATTGCGATTTAACCAACCTACGCGCCAAATATTTACCCATTTCCAAAAAATTGGCATTATCATTTCTAGAATGGAGTTCATTGCTTGTTTACCAATCATAATTATTGCAAGTTGAATACACAATTCCGTCAAACAACCACCATTCGAGCACTTGTAATAAATAGTAAATATAAAAACATAAATTCCCATAATACACTTCACTTTACCTCTTCTTGGCGATATTCAAGCCAGCGATTATATTTTCCAGGATGACCAACAAATTTGCCTTTAAAAAATGCAATGTAAAATATTGACGCATAATAATTAACGAATTGTAACAGATAAATTTTAAGAGTTAGCGAGTCATCAAATTCAGTTTGGGTTCTTAACAATTCTAGCTCTGTTAGGTATTGCGCTAAATAGGTATACATCTAATTTTTTTTAATAAAAGGTAATTCGTAAGCCGAAATATTTATAATTATAAAATTATGTTACTCACGTAATTAAAAACAAAAATTAAACATAAATTGATGCAAGCTGCTGATCCGGTTGTTATCATTATGGCACTTGAAGTATTTACAGCACTACCATAAACACTCAGAGCTGCTAAGATCGATATGCGATACAATACAACCGCCAAAACTGCGGCAAAAGCTAATGCTACTAAAAGAAGTACAACGGAGAAGCTTAATATTGTTGCAGGAACTTTCATACGCCAAAACGGTGGTTGAGGCTCTTTTGTATTTGTTACGTAATCTATGCGCGTTTTTCTAACATGAGCTAATCTTGCCAGATATTGCGGTCTTGGATGCTCTTCATGGACGTCAAACCCAGTCAAATCCCACCGATGGGTAATTTCAGCAGAATAACGTTTCCATAATTCCAAAAATAATGTTGCCCAAAAAGACATAAATACGGCAAAAAACACCGTAGTTGAATTATCTATTAAATAAGTTATCCTAGCATAGAAACACGTTTCTTTTAAACTCCAATAATCACACCAATAATCGCAAAGGGGGCACATTTTAATTTCAGGTTTTCCTGAGCATATTTGATTCCTAAAAAAAAAAACGATTGTTTGTTCATAACAGTAACATGAAATGTAATATCAAAAAATTAGACGCTTACGTAGGAATATTTTTATCTAAGGTCAAAAAAGAGTATGAAAAACAAATAACCCCTACAACAGAAGCTAATAGTAACATATAAGTATAATAACCCAACCATGCGAAATATAAACCTGCAAAATATTTGTATTTCCAAATAGAAAACAAAATACGTATGTACATATATATTTATTAATATTTCAGTAAATTACCTATTTTAACTCCAAAATATTCTTTAACATAATCTAAAGGCTGGTATCGATACCACTTTCTAACAGCCGCCCATTCAGTGTACAAAATGTATCGCATGCTACCTGGAACTGAAATTTCCCCCTAAAAGGTTATTGAATAGTTTAAATATTATTTCAAACATATTATTATGTATATTCATATTAAAATTATCTTACATCATGCAAAGGATAAGCGGCAATATAAACACCTTCAGATACCAGACGTTCAATACCAAAAGCAAAGTCATCTCCAGATTGAACGTATCTTTGTCTATCTAAAATGAATTGGACAATTCTTGATCTAACAGCTGCACTAAAAAAATTATCTTGTTGAAGATCAAACCTACATGTATACGTGATGAAATAAAAGTTAACGAATGAAATTATTTATGTACTCACTTTATAAAAACTTACAGATATTCTTTATCGCGACTGTAAATGGCAGTAAACCTATGAGATTTCCTTGGAAAATGTCGTTCATCCACTAAAATTTTTTTCAGAAGGGATGCACCAAAGCCCTTCAATTGAGAGTATATATTATTTGTAGTAGTTCTAATGCCACTTAATCCGGGAATCTAACAGGCGTGTTACAGGGTACAAGCAAAGTGTTTATTTTCACAAAAAAAAAAATCAAACAAAAAAAGACCATTGATGGATGCGAATTTCATGAAATAAGATGAAAACAAAACAAATGAATTATTAGCAATTAATTTGACATAATATATGGAATGGAGGTCAATTTTTCAATCTAATAATTAACACACTTTTAACACTACTATTGCAAATTTGCAGCATATTTTTAGTTAAGCAAGAAAAACAATCTCATTGAAAATATCAAAACAATAAAACGTTTTTGTGTTAAAATGCACTTCAAATTTTGAAAATTAAATAATACAAAATTTGTTTTTCTATCATTGAATTTTTATTTAAATGTCGTTTAAATAAAATGAAATAAGCACAGACACCGTATAAAATCAAATATGTACAACTCTTTGTTAAATGAGCACCTTATGGTTCAAATTCAAGCATAAAATTTTTTTTCTGCGGGTAGAAAGCGAATGGTTACAAGATATCTTTAATCTACGTGAAACAATCTATGTACATGAAACAATTATTGAATAACTTATTTACTTTTTTCTTATATTTCGATAAGTATAATATTTCAAAACTAATTTTGTCAAGTTTTAGCCACAAAATTCAATAAGAAATATAATAAAGTTACTTTAGTTGTGAAGACCTCTAACTTAAGTTAGTTTAGTTGTGAAAATTAAATTGTGAAAACATCTAACCTTTTCGCTGATATACTGCGCTGCATTTGTAAATTTGTTCATTTTTTCGTTTGAGTGAATTCGACATAATGACTGAAAAATAGTTTCAAAAAATTATGTATATTCAAAAGTTGATATGATTTTAAATTGTAATGAAAACACACAAATTTTAAATTTTAAGGTACTTATTTTATAAAAAGTTCAATTCAATCTTAAAGAATTTTATTTCGTATTAAATTGATATTTTTAGAAAAATCATCATATTTTGAATATATTAATTAACCAATTATCTACGAAATTTAAATGTCGCCGTGACAAAAGACGTGCTCTAAATTAATTACAAGAAGGTAAGGATCTATAATTCAATGACATGCCAGGATTTTATAATTCTTAAAACTTAAAACCATAATCTTGAAATAAACTTTTTGTTCAGAAAAATACTTTTTAACAAAAACTTCCATTTTTCAAAACTGCTTAAATAACTCTGCGTCAATAATAACTTTTTCAAACAGTACTTTGCTTAAATATTAGTTTCAAGTTTTAATTACCTCTTTCATTGGTAGGCGTAATTTTAAAATTTCTGCGTATTGCCGTAACACATCCAAAGGTGCATGAATCTAAATTAAAAATAGGCTATTACAAAGAAATTTTAAACGGTTTATTTATTAAAATAAAACATAAGAAATTTCAAATATACTTTTGATTTATACCTTAACAAAATTTAAATCTTCTCCAACGATTTCTCTTTCTATTTCTAATCCAATACCAACAAGGTTTTGTTCAAAAACCAAGCGTTTATCAAAGTTTATTTTTTCAATATCATTATTTACATTGCATTCCCATGCTAAAACAAAATCGACGGATCTAATGCCATCCGACATATACAATGAACTATTTAAAGTTGTAAATCCTTCAAATGGATTTGGCGATGGATCTCGACTAGTACGTCGACTATGAGTAAAAATTTTCCTAGTAAAATTGTAAACATGATTTTGTAATATTTCTGAATGATTTAATTTTTCATTTGGTGGCTCTAATGTATCCATATTATTATTTGTATCATCTTCTATATTAGTTTCGTTTACACATGTATCTCCGGGTGATGAATATGTTATAGGAGTCATTTCCCGAGTCGATATCGTATCGTTCCTACAACAAATATTTTATGAAAGCATACTATTAGATATTTGTATAAATATTATAAGTACAAGTTAAAATGTAATATAAGAATCGCATATAAATATAATAAAAGATATTGTAATTTAATAAGTACTAAATTTCAACAATTTGAAAGAGCTACAAAAAAATTCCTAAGAAAGAACTGAAAATCAAAGAACATTGAAAATAGTTTTTCATTTTTAGCACTTTGTAAAAACAAAAATATTTTTTTTTTATAATTAGATTAAAAGTTACAACATTTTTTTTGTTATCTACTTGAACGTTTTTTTAATAATACATCTTAAAGTTGAACAAACTAACTGATATAGGTATTCTATTTTTATATGTAAGTGCATATAAAAAAAATTGACTGGCTATGTTCTTAATGAAAACAAACTTCTTATGAAAATAAAATATAATTATAAATTAACCTAGATTGATTAACGCTTTAAAACAAGTAAGGGTGTATTATAGTGTTGTAGGTAAATACTACAAGTTTAGAGTTTCAAAAATTTAATTTCGCATTTGCTTTTCATTTAAAAATACATTTATATATATATAAAGAGCTTCATTAATGAGTGACTTAACATATGACATCGTTTAGTTAGGTCATCCAAAATGAGTAAAGTGTTAAGTCTTAAAGGTTTTCGAAATACAGGGATAAGCAACTTAGACAAAAAACTTATGAAAGTAAAAATTTTTTAAAAATTCATAAGAATCCTTTTATCTCGGTTGACATTTAGCCCCAAACAAAAATTTTACCCATTTTCGATGCCTTAAACGACGTTATATGTTAAGACACTAATTACAGAATCACTCGGTATGTGGTAACAAATGTTTATGACTGTCGAATATATAGGCAATTTACAAAAAAGCAAGGCTGCTTTGCTTTGATCAAAAAAAAATTCGTTTGGTTAATTTTTTTACTATTTTGTTCGTAATTTACACGATCAATCATCGATTTCAAGCAAAAATCTCTAATAAAAATAAGCATATTCGTTGTATTTACCTTAATTTCTTAATGGGAAGGGCTTTTACAGTCAAAAATTTGAAATTAGTAAGTTTTTTTGGTGCGTATTGAAATACGCAATCTAAAATTTTTGTATTCTTATCTTGATGAAAAAATAAATTGTATTGAAACAATTTTCAACATTCTTAAAGAACTGATTTTAACAGTTTATTTCAAAAATCACTACATAATATTATTATTATAAGAAAGTAACTAATTAGGTAAAATTTTAATATACAGTTTATATTCTTTTGTAAATTATCACTACATACATAAGTGAAGACAAAATTTGTAAAAAGAAAAAAAATATTTGAATTACTTAATCAAAATCAAAGAAAAATAATTGTTTTTATCACATCTTTTTCATTTTCTTTCAATTACTTATACAATTCAAAATAACATATGATTCTTATATTATTGCAAGCCTAAGTCGATATTTATTTCATTTCCTAAAAACTAATTTATATTAATTATTAAACTAAACAAATGAAATGATACTATTCGTTTGAGTTTTTTACCTTATTAACAAGAACTAAAAATTTTGTAAATGTGACTACATCGAAAAAAAAAAAAGAATACATTTTATAAATAGAAACTTTTTAAATATGTTTCATCTCTTAGTGTTTCTTAAAGTAATATAAATGTACTGCAGATTTCGAATTGAGTTTGTAATACCTTGTGAATATCTAGAATTGAGTAGTTGTGAATTAATTTCGAAAAGAATTTAGGTATATTCAGATAATATTCTTTGAACTTCAGATAATATTCTTTGAATCTGAATTCAAAAGTGTCAAATTCAGTGATATTTTATAAATACAAGTGCATTTGGAGTACTCGAAAAAATAAAAATTTTGTGGAGCAAAATATTATGTATTGCTAAACAATTTATGTATATATTCCTAAATAGAATCGATTAAATTTCACCTATAGAGCACACACATTTATATTAAATTTAAAATTTAATTTATTACTTTTAAAGTAAGCTTAAAGGATAAATATATATAAAATTTAATTTATATCTACAGTTCTCCCCGGTTAAATGCACCACGCTTAATTGATTTTCCCCTTTTATTGAACGAAAAACTAAGGCAACTTTAAATCCCTATTAAAATATACATGAATAACATCGTTTAATTGAGTCCCGTTTAATTGAACAACTCGCTTAAATGAATCTCTTTTTTTGGTATTACCTTATAAAAACTGTGAAAAATCCCCCTGTTTATTGACCTGAATTTTTGTTATGTTATGTGATATAAAAATATTATGGTTTACATATTTTGAATTTGAATTCACAGTTACATTACTTAGATGGATTTAAAATGATGAAAAATTTAAGTTTTAAAATTTTGAAGTAAAGAAACATTTAAGTTTTTAAATTTATTGAAAAATTATAAAATTAACATATGGAATAATTTGTTTTTATTTTTGATATGAAATATTTATTTTTAATTTTTGTTATGTTATGTGATATAAAAATATTATGGTTTACATATTTTGAATTTGAATTCACAGTTACATTACTTAGATGGATTTAAAATGATGAAAAATTTAAGTTTTTAAATTTTGAAATAAAAAAAAATTTGAGTTTTAGTATTTCATTAGTGTATCCCCTATTTTAAATATAGCTTTTTACCTAGGATATTTTGATAAGTATATGTAATAGGATATGCTTCCTATTGTTTTTATTAATTTTATGCAGTAGCAGGATCAAATTCGTTTTTGCGCCTGATCTTCAATAGCGAGTATTCGTTTTCATGCGTAAACGATTCAGTTAAAAAAATTCGTTTTATTGCACCAATTGTTCAATTAAACGGGATTTTTTTAATTGATTTACCCGCTTAATTGATACAAAAAGTGTGCAACTTTTCTCGGTTCAATTAACCGGGGAGAACTGTACATATAAATTAAATTTTTATATACTTAAACTGATCAACCTTTTTTTTCAGAAATCACCTTTTTGGTTAATGAGTTTTTGTTTTCTCAGTTGATAGTTTTTCGTTTTATATTAAAATTTAAATGAATTAAATTTATGACAATTATTATCCATTATGAGCATGGCTCATAGACTCGTATAGCAGTAATGAAATAAATTTGTAATAAAATATGTGTATATTTCAACCGGACTGCGACTTTTAGGGTTAAAAACGATGTTCTTTAAATAAATGTTTATTTTGACAGATGTATCTACATATGTGTGTGGACGTTTGATTTCTTTAAAGGTCAAAATTGAGATACAAAATTAATACACACATGTGTACATACATCAATATACACACATTGCAAAAACATTCGATATTTTGCTTTTTGTTGCTACTAATTTTTACAGTAAATTCTAAATCGAGTTTTTAAAAATATAAATTTTTAGAACATTTGTTTAGCATATTGATTAGCACTTCATTTTACATATTGAATGAAAACATGAATACCTACATACATATATTGAATAAATTTTATGTATTGAATTTATTGTACACATGTACATATGTCTATCTATGCGAACCAAAAAGATTTGAAAGACATTACAATAGAAACAGGTAAGTTACTTCCAATAAGACCGGCATGGATAATACATATCTATTTATGCTTTATGTCTGTATATATTAAAATTATAATACTATGTATGTACATAGTTATATATAATAAAAAAATGTATTATCGTATAAACAATTTATAATATAAAAAATTACACATATTAATTTTTTGTTGACACAATTTTAAACAAAAATAATATACCCATACTGTAGGTAGGTACTCAATTATAAACGTTATTATATTAAGTTTATTATGTAGAATTTCTAATTTCAATAAATAATTTATAAAAAGAGACGTTAGGTGCCTACCTGCATACCTATAATAAAGGTTTTTTTTATAAAAGCCAAAGAAAATTCTCCTAACCAAACATATCAAAACAGAAAGTTATGTATACATGCAAAATAGTAAAATATCCATATAAAAAGGATATTTTTTTTCTATTAGGGATACAAATTATGCTAAGAAAATTTTTTCAATTTTTCAATAAAATTACACACATTTTAATACATGTAGGTCAATACCACAATTTATGTATATTAATGAGTTTGTATTTAAGCACAATTATTAAATATAATAAAATTATTAAAGTAATGATTTAAATATCAAACTTCGGCTCTTATCAAATTTATAAAAACGACTTTAATTTAAATTACTCCACTTTGCTGTTCAAGCGTTCGACCAAGAAGAAGTTAAAATACAAGAGAATAATATGAAATAGTAATTTAATACGTTATACAACTAGAATATGTAGTACAACTGTAAATATAATATGTGGTGAGATTATATTCAATCACACAAAAAAGACTGATAATCAGTGTTGTTAATTTCAACTTGTTTTTCAGTAGCATTTTGTCTTAAAAAAATAGTATGGAGAGCTTTTGCGTAGTAATTTGGGGTGTCATTAAAAAACATACACTAAACAAAAAGTAAGGCATCTGACTAAATAGATGCGTAGGAGGAAATACTTGGTGCAAAAATGTTTTTATATCCGTGCTTGTAAAACCAAGTCACCCAAATGAACTACATGCCTACGCAACGTAGTGATATTTTCGACTTTGGTAGGTTCATTTTTCTGTTGCTTTTTTTTAATGTCAAATTGATCTAGTAACTGTCAATTCATTTTCAAGTGTGTAAAGCGCGAAATTAAACATTAACAATATAAACTTTTTTTGGAAAATAATTTTGAATTTTAGAAAAACAAAAACTTTACATAAAAAAAATATTTTTAGGTCTCCGCCAACTTTTTTTTTGGAAACTACATTTGTATAAAAAATTAAAGACCTTTTGAAAAAATGTATCATTCGTAAGCTGACACACGCTTTTCGAATTCATTGATTTCCATTCAAATTCCGTTTATGTAAACAATTATATTTTTTTCCATTTTTTAAAATCTAAGAACAACAAGTCTGGAACCGAATTTTATAATGAATTAACAGAAGACAAAATTGAATAAATACGTAATAAGAATATATATATGAATTGCAAAGTTGTTGAACGAAGTATATTCACTTTTAATAATATATATTATTAATTTATGTTTATTTTTATAATTATAAATTAACTGGCGTAAATATTGATTACTTTTTTAGCTTTGAAGAGACTTTTGTTACGATTTTACGAAATTATATTCAAAACAAATTCAATAAACTTATATCTTTAATGTACCCGCTTTCAAAACCTCGCGTTTATACTTCATATTAAAAATGACAACTTTTCATTAATGTGAAATTTCAACGTTGGACGTTTCTTTCGCGATATCGTTTTTCAAACTAGGTTTTAAATTTAATACAATAATGGCATTTTCATAACAAATGCAAATAATGACATTTTCTGTATAAAGACAAAAAAGTAGTAAAAATGGCTTGGCAGTAGTATAGTAGTACGGAATGCCAAAATGTAGTAAAATACTACAATTGTAGTAAAATTAATAACACTGCTGGTAATACAGTTCATTGTTTACATATGATTTACTGTGTGTAGAAACATGTATGTATGTGGTTTTTTGGCAACAAATTTATTATGAAAATAATGTAGGTACCTACCTACCCGCACTACTTAATAATTCAAATGAGCTTTACATATTGTGAACGTATGAATAAAAGCCTACTCATAAAAACAGCTTCCTTATACTTACATATTTAATTTTACCATTTATTTTTGAATCATTTATGTAATATGTATTTTATATTTCAAAAATATGGGATTCGCTAAATGTGTAGTATGTAGATATATGATATATGTATGTATGTATTTCTTTAATATTAGATATACAAGACCTTACGAGTCTAAAACTAGGTACTTAAATTTTGGATTGATCGTTGATTTTTCGATCTAGTACTCATATTTTCTGTCATTTGTATATACTCAAATACGTACATTTTATTCATGTGAAATTGTAAAATGTAAAAAATTTCTACAGTTTATAAATTCTTCGACTCACCTATCTGTGTCCATTTCATTTACGTCTCTATCACATAAACTAACCATTGATATTGCACTTAATTCGTTGTGACCGCTATTTAAGCTCAATTGAAAATTATTTTCGCTAGATTTGTAGCCGTACATTTTATTTCTACGTTCTCTCAATGACTTCATTAAATTTTCTTCAATATCCCCTGTGTAAACGCCGATATTGGCAGAAATTGAATTTTGGTTTCCTTCTTCAGGTTTCATATTTTTTCTGTTAGAGTTAAAAATTGTAACAGATGTTTTTGTTAAACATTTCAGAAAAAACGCATTTTGCTCATTATTTTTTACTTCACCACCCAGCTCATTTTGCAACAGTACAATATTGCTCGTATCTTTTTTTATGCAATACAAAATACATAGACAATAAAAATGGACTTCCAACTTTTTTTGAAACTATGTTGGTACAATATAGATATATTTTTATGTAAGTCTTGCGTTAAAGTGGAAGTTTTATTTTAACTTATTTTATTTGGTGCATTTATTATGTAAAAAACTTATGATGTTTATAGATAACTTTACTTTTGCCGTCTTTATTCTTCTTTTTTATTATAACTCACCCATGGTACTATAATATTAAATACATATATATTTCAGGGACCACAAAATACTTTAAAAAATACTATGAGTCATTTTCACAAAATATAAAGTTAAAAAAAAATAATAATAAAAGAAAACCTTAATCTAATTCTAAGTGTAATACAATTACCACAAAAAAAATTAAAAAACTATGTAATATGGTGTGACAGAACAGTGACACATAAATGAAATGCTAACCCGATTGAACCTAGCGTTAATTTAAATTTCATGGTACTCATCCACATTTTGAAGGACCAAATTGACATAACAGCATTAGATGTCATCTGAATAAGTCACCAGTTTTTTAAATTGTTTTTCAACACTTTTTTTTGTTCAAAGCATTACAAAAACACTAAATAAAAGAGTATGTATCTTGAAAAATTAATCAGCGTTCCCACTTTGATACTTTAAAACATTACTTTGATTTAATATCAGTTAAAATAACTTTTTTGAATTAAAGGAATTATTAAAAATTTGCTACAAATTACATGTACATTTCAATTCAAAGAATATCGAAAAGTGTATAAAATACTTTAAAAATGATAACAAGTTCCATGTTTTTTTTACATAACATATACATAATATATTGAATATTTATATGAATTATTTTTATTTTCAAAAAAAGATTATTATTTTGAAATAATTATTACTAATTTAAACATAGTAACATTGATATATGATTTTGTATTTTAAAAATTATATACATACATTAATGCGAGACCGTGTAAAACATACATTGCAGTATATATCCAAGAAAAAAAAATAAAAAAAAGGGACAACTTTAATTTTTTCTAAAGTTTGAATGTTTCGTATTCCGAAAGTACATAAAATACAAAATCAAGTAACATATTGATTTAAAGCCCTTTACTGGGCCTTTTAAAAACGGTTTGTTTAAAACCCTTATCTTTTTCGGAACGCAATTTATAAGCAAAAAAACTGGTACAAGTGTTAAATTAAAAAAAAATCGTTAAAATAGCCTTGAGATTTGACACTTAGTCCGGAACAATCACCCTGTATAAGTAAGTATATAAAAATGATTATCAATAAGAAATATACAATACATAATTGGCAAAATATTTTACATCAAATGAACACTTTTTAAAATTTTAAAAGGAATCTTAAAAAAATTAACAAAATTGGAAGATTTTTTCAAAAACAATTTTACAATGTTGTTATAACAGAAAACTACAAAAATATACTAATAAAATAAAAAATTTTTGTATTTCAATTTTTTCTAGCTAAAAAATTAAATTCAATAGTGGAAGCAGTCAAGGTTATATCGTAGATTTCGTTGCATTTGTAAGCACTAGTGTCAATTTTTGCATTATTTGTGTTGGGATGTTTAGTTGGGTAAATTGCACTAGATTAGGCAAAATACAATGCCATTTTACGCCAAATTTCAAGACCCTCGTAATTTAAAGAAGTTCAGTTACAAAACGAACAAATTTCTTATTATTTAACTGCCAATCTGTAGATATGTAAATAAATGAAACTTCCAATCCTTTAGATTTAGAAAAAAATTTATTTAGAAAAATCTAAAGCAATCCTTTAGATTTTTTTTCAAAGATTTTTGAGTACTTTTGCAAAACGCTATTATACTAAAACTGCACGTGGCATAACCTTTTAACACTAGAAAGCCCGAAATTTTGTATATACCTGTGTTGCCCAAAACCATGAAGTATTAATTATTCTTACATAATGCAGTCGTGTATAAAAAAAAGTTAAAAGATATAAAATAAACAACTTGTTAGAACAAGTGTCACTGTATAAATATACGAAAAATAATTATTGAGCCACTGCAAGTTATCTAGTTAGAGCACGTTCGAATCAACAATTTATCATATTATGTAACGGTTATTATTATGCATTCCATTAAGTAACGGTCATCAAAATGAATGTTATTTCAATACAGAGTCGAACTGATTATATAAGAAATTTACTCTGTTAAGAACAATGAGTCATTTGATTATTTTAAATTACACTAGCAGTCCAAATGAGTGCTTTTGGGCTACATAGATATAACACATATATATATTGGAAATGATTGAAGGGGGGAGGTAACTACAATTATCAATGAACGCATTTTTATGCTGTACACAAAGTCATAAAATTTTATGAAATTATATCAATGCATACATAATTTTTTTTTCTAATTGAAATTAAAAAGCAGTCAAAATCACTCTTTGGGCAGCCTTGGTGTAAAAACCAACGCAAAAATAAACTCGATTATGCCAAATTTTCCATTACAAATACACAACATATCCCAGCACTGTTTGTTTTATGACATAACGATTTTGTTTAAATGTCAATGTAATACACGGATAAGAAATTTATATTACGTACGTACTTTTAACAGGAAGGATTATAAAATTGAAAATAAACTTATTTTTTTATTGCTATGTGCTTTCAAAATATATTTTAAAAAACACATTTTAGTATCATGTAAAATTTTTGAAAAATTTCATATATTTAAGGGTTCAATAATGGGAGAAATGGACTCTTTAAAAGCTTTGAAAATTTTAGACTTAAAAACTTTTATGACTAATATAAGTTGTAAACTCTCAGCAATTACATACGTTCATCCACCTGATAAGCAAATACTTTGTGTGGTTACTATCGAAAATGACATAGTTTTACACCTGTCTACTATAGATGAAACAGAAGATTTAAAACGTATTTGCTGGTTTCAAAAAAATAGCAAAATAGTACAGGATATTTGCTTTGATCCAGCTGGAACAAAATTATTAGTTCTCTGCTTAGATAATTCTTTACATATTGTACCAGCTTTAAAAATTTTTCAAGAAGACAATGATAAATATTTTATGGATCATAAAATAATATCATTTATAATTCCATTTACAGGGCCCCATCTTTGCCCTTGTCCACAAAAATGTCCAAATTTAGAAATCGATTTAGTGGTTGAAAACTGCAGCACGACCGACTTTGAAGAAAATGGAGATTCAATGAAAACTTCAACCGATTTAAGTTCGTCAATATCGGTATGTCCTCAACCAACATCAACAGTTTGGTGGCAGACAATTGATTTGAAAAACAGGGCTATTATTGGATATTCCGATGGGTCGATATGTTTTGTTGAACTGGCACCGAATTGTCCATTTATCGCCAGCACAGCAATTGATAAGGGTGCCGTGGAAAAACTAACAATTTGCCGAGATAATACCATGCAAAATGTTAGTCTTCTTATTAATTCTTCCCAAAGTGAGCAATATAAACTCTTACTAGAAAAAACTTGTATAAACTTTTTGTACCCGGGAGATTTGTCACCGAAAAATGCAGACAACAGTGTTGAAAATTGGCAAATTGTTGTCCCAGTTAATCAACAGAGCGACGCAAAAGACAACGAAAATAGTACAGATAAAGAAGCAGATGCTAAAGAACGATCATTTGATTCGACAGTTTCATTTTCAACTAATGAAAAAAGTTTAAATAAAGAAAATGTCGAAAAAGGGACCGGAATTTTACCTACGGCTAAAGCAAAATTAGCATCTTTAAAAGATTTGGGCACAAAAAAATTGAATCGCTTAAAAATGAAACTAGCTGAAACAAAATCACAAAAAGTAAATGAAACCGACAATAATATTGAAAAATTTACTATAATCGATTCACCACAAATGGTTCCAGAGCTTTTAAGTAGTGTTAATGGTCCTTCGTTCGCTGCTCAAGTGCTTCGGAACACATTTTTTTTGAGTGCCTTACGTTCAAATTTAAATACCCTGTCTATTTATAGTATGGACACATCTTTTCTACCTTTATTTCTTTATAAGTTACCTAACAGTTGTAGAGAAATTTTAATCGGATCAAATGTTTTGTATACTATACATTTACAAGAAATGACAGAAGAAAATTTTTCGCGATCTTCTGATGCTAAGACTGAACCAAAAGAGAATAAGGAAATAAATGAAAATCCCGAAAGCGAAAGGTATTCAATAGACAATTTGCATTTAATTTTGTGTATATATAAAATGTGTATGTATGTTTTTTTTCTGTGTTTCAGCTTGGCAAGTGAAATTCACCCAAACATTAAATACATTGATGAAATATGTGTTTTAAGTAGTTCAATGGCTTCTATGAAAACGGGACAAGAAGAAATATTCAATGAGCGATCTGTATTACGAAAATTTTCGTTTGAAAACGAAACTATTATTAATTTGCATAGGAAACTTAAATTTCCAAAAACAGAAAATGCTCTAGAAACTCAAAATCAAATTGACATTCTAAATCTTAAATTTCAAAATATTAAAACATCTTCGGACTACGTATTTTTCTATAAAAGGGAAGAAGAAAACAAAGAAATTACCTTATCAAAAGAAGATATTTTGAAATCAGATATTAATAAATTAAATTTTGATCCATGCTACATTATAACTAATAGAAATATTTATTATATCGATTTTACTGACGAACCCGTTAAATTATTTTTAGATGCAGCTGTTGCTGGAAAATGGAATAGTTGCGAAGAGTTTTGTAATACTTTTGATTTAAATTATACTCAATGCATGGAATTTGCTGGGGATTATCTTCTGGAAACAAAAAAAGTAACACAAGCTCTAGTTACATATAACGTTGCCAAAGTACCAATAATAAAAACTGCGTTAAAATTAGCATTACATAAAGAAACATATGCTTTAATGCATTTATGTGCGATGGCTTTAAAAGTAGTTTATTTGTTAAAAAGTAAATATTTTAATCGAAGACTTTATTTTAGTATATTACAAAGTCTTCCATCAATGCACGTTGAAGAATTTAATCTCTTAAATCACATGAAAAAATCAAATGAAAATATAATTAATGAAGGATGGAAATGTAGTGATTACGTTTACGGTGTCGATGAACCTATTACCTCATTGCAAATGACAGCTTCATCACAATTTCATTTATCGAATTTACTTTTAATAACTTTAGTCGAACGAACTGTTAAAGATAAGAATTATGTTCCACTTTGGAATTTCATACATAACAATAGCAAATTTCATTACAACATGGCAAGCATAGTCCTTTCACAGAGTGGGCTGTATTCAGCTGCTGTTATTTTAGCAATGACGAAAGGAGCTTTTCTTGACGTATTTGTGGGGTTAGTAAATGCCGCAAATCAAGAATTTGGATTCTATTCCGAATTAAATGTGTGTTTATATAATTTGACCGAGCCAATATTTGTTGAATCTATAACATATTTACATAGAACTGCACATGACTACTTTGATATAATCGAAAGCAAAATGAACAAAATATTGCCAAATGTTTTAGAAAGATTAGAGCAACAATTGAATCCATTTTCTGGAATTTATAGATCAATGATTTGCCAACCATTTACACAAAATTTTATCGATTGTGACTTTACTGGGGCCGATTGTGTTGATATATTGAGCTTTTGTAGTCATCTAGTTGAAACTTATATTAATGTAATTGTTAATATGCTTAAACATAACGCAACTTATCTGGGTAACATTCTCAACGCTTTTGATACATTTAACGTGCAGTACGAAACTAATCATGTCGCTGTTTGTATACCATTTTTTACACCTCTAGCTGTTGGATGTACTAATTGCGCCTATGTAGTAGATGGAGTCGCATATTTTTGGGGAAATAATGGAATTCCGTTAGTTTATGATTCGGCAAATTTCACTGATTTAGCGGAGCCGCCATATACCGTAAAGCGATTGGAAATATTGAACCGAATTCAGATTGAGGTAATTTGCCCAGATAAAAAATTGTGGTATAATAATTAATACAAAGATTAAATTTTGAAATTAATATTCTAGGTTTATGCTGTTAAATGTGGCCGTCAGCATGTACTTATCTTGACCAATAATGGTTTGTATAGTTTTGGATCAAACAATCTTTACCAGCTTGGTGTTGGCAAAAATATTTTGCAATCTCTGCAACCGTTACACGTTAAAAGTTTAGATTTGAAATATATAAGCCTTATAGAAGCTGGACAATACCATAACGCAGTTATAGCAGAAAATAAGTTGTATACTTGGGGATGGGGTGTGTATGGTCAACTTGGTCATGGTAGTACTGAAAACATAGATAAACCAAAACGTGTGATATTTTTCAAACGGAAAAATATTATTAACGTATCTTTAGGACACGCTCATTCATTAGTATTATGTTCAGGTGATGGAAATTTTACAGAACTTTACGTTTTCGGCTCAAACCATTTCGGCCAATTAGGAATTGGTACTTCAACCGTTAGTAAATTATTACTACCCACAAAATTGGAATTTAGTGCAAATATAGTGTTAATTTGTACAAAATTTTTTACAAATCTTGCTGTGGATAGTGATAATAAATTATATACATGGGGTAGTTCACCGCAGGCTTTGAGGTTAGCAAACCAAATGAAAAGAAGAACGAATAGTAAGCAAAAATTGGAAGAATCAATCAAGAAGGAAATCGATAGAAGAAAACAATCGGGTGAAGATGAAACAACAGATTGTTGTGATATTAAATTGGAAGTCCCCGTATTGGAGAAAGCTCGGGAAATGATTTTATCAAAATCACCATTAAAAATCCGTAAAAATAAGCGGAAAGATTCAGAAGTCAGAAATAAAGAGGAGTCTAGTTCTGAACAACTTGGCACTTTAATGGAGGCAGATACTCCGCAAAACAGTCCATTGGAGAATCAAAATATGGAAAATCAAACGGAACAGCTTTTGGGGGACGAAATCCCGGAATCTGAAGTTTCAGCCGAAAAAGAAAAATTTGATACCAATTTTGAAGCAAATGCTAGAGCTAGTAGTAGCGCTGATGTCCTTAACGATTCTGTTAATATCTCAGATTCTGCTATAGAAGATGCAGATATCAATGTTGAATCTGCTATTGTTGCTTCAGAGAACATAGCTACCAGTGAAATTGAACATTTAATGCCACATATTGTAGATTCAAGTGAAGTATCGGGCAGAATATTGCAAATATCATGTGGTTTGTTTCATTGCGCTTTAATTTCATCAACAAACACTTTATATACTTGGGGAAAAAATATCGAACATCAATTAGGTACAGAAGATCGTGAAAGAAAACCAGTTGCAAAGCCATCCCCAATCGAAGCTGTTGAAAATCCATTGTTTGTGCATTGCGGTTATGATTTTACAGTTGTAATTACAACAGATTATGCTGTTAAGGCCTTTGGTGGAAATTCATATGGCCAATGTGGCAAGGATTTAAGTTCCGAAAATAAATCTGGACGGTTATTTTGTTTACCGACTACAAAAAGATTGTTGCGCTTGGATGGAAATTGTTCTGAAAGTCCACATGAAATACCAGTACCGAAGCCAAAAATAAAATTTGAAAAGGAATCAATAAGATTTTTGAAATCTATCCCTAAGTATCAGAAAAAATTTTTACAGAGATTTGTTATATCAAAAGATACATCATTTCAAAATATCGCCGGAAATAGTAATGGAATTGGAAATGGTTTCTCTGAAGGCTTTAGCTCAAGCTTCGAAAGCTCGGAAATTAGTGACGTTGATCCAGACTCATTGACACCATATACAGAAAATATTATTTCATCAGAGGATACAGATACACGTCGGACGTCAATAACAACAACTTACACAAACAATTATATACATTATTGCTTAACGGTTTTGCATGGATTATATAATCCAGAAAAATTATTCACACTTTTGTCAAAAGAATTTTTAGAATTTAAGGTTCGCATCTTAATGTTAAATTTTAAATTTTTAGAGGCTTTCAAAATGTGCTTACTAGATTGTAACTCAGCTATAAAATCTATTCAAATATTTGAATATTTTACCAAAGATACTAGTATTGTGCCTATAAAAAGGCAAGATATGAAATTTTTTATACATAGTTTATTAAATCACTTTATTCGTAATAATTATGATTTGAAAATATGTGAGCAGTTTTTTATGTCAGATTTAGATTATTATTTATCTGAATTAACTTCCGTTTTATTTTTCAGCTCTGATAATTATAAATTAGACGAAAATTTAACAAAACAGTTAAAAAAATTATTTATTGCTGACATAAACGAAAAATCTGATTACTTATTCGAAAATTCTGAATTGATATTTGATTCTATAAGCGTTAAATTTAAGACAGTTGTTTGCAAAAAAGTTTTAAACTGCTTAGTTCACTGAAATATCGTATAAAAACTAATACTGTTAATAATTTCTTATAGTATAAATAATATTTTTAGCTTAATGCATTGTGCTCTGAAAAATATCGGTCATTCGCAATCAAAATATAAGTCATCGAATTTCAATATTAAAATTTAATTATATAAATTTATTTTAATATTAAAATTTGTTTTAGAAACGTTTAAATCATAGAAACGCAAACCATACTAAAACAATTGGAGAAGTACATACGAAAATTAATTTTAAACATAAGATATTTATTTATTACTATAATGTTAAAAAATAATAAGATAGTTTGAAATAAGCATACCTGCATATTTTGAGATTTTACTCGATTGAATTTACTACATACATACTGTATTTATTTATGAATTTATTTATTTTTGGGGAAATGCAAAAACTAATCATTTTAAATGAAGTGAAATTTTAGCTAGTTTGAGTTTTAATACTCTTAAGATTAAAAAAAATAATTGCGTAAAAGTGACATAATTATGTTAAAGCATTTCAAGAATTATTTGACTTTCATCATAACCAGATTATAACGAACTAAAAATTGATTATAATGAATTATAAATTCTGTATGAACTATTTAAAAAGTTTTTGTAAATTATGATTGAATTGTATTTGCCCTTTTTTTTGTGATACAGAGTTTTTATAATTTTATTTTGGCCATTTAATAAAATTTAAAAATTTATTTGCACAATCAAGTGTTTTTTAATAGATTTATTGATTAATTTGCAGAACTTGAAGATTTGGGGCGCTAATGTCAAAATATCGAAAAATCCATATATATATTACACCGATAAATCTCCCACTAATATTAATTGATTTATATAAATAACATTTTTTTCAATTCAAAGTATAGTTAGCTATAATATAATTAGTTAGCTAGTTAAAGGGGCGAGGTGGCATCCTAAACGGTGCACCCAGTACCACGCCAGTAGAAGACCCATCGGCATTACTCCACAACACACCTCACCATCCTCCCCAATAAACAGTGTGCCGTCAAAATGCCAACCGCAATATTGATATTCCAATTCTTAATGCCAGAAGCTCTCTCGTCCTTGAGCCGTTTTCTTCGGTCACAGGACCCTTATCGTTGCACAAGTCCGGCCGTGGTACCAGAGCAATTCCGCGCTGCTTCTAGTTTCCTCATCTATAGTGTTCTTCATTCTCCCAAAGGCGGAAGCATCGATCAGCCCATTACTGAATAATTGCAACAAAACTCGTATCTCCTCATCCATGTTCCATTGGGTAGCCGGTATCCGTTCTCCAAGGACCGTTTCCATTCCAAAGCCGGATTCCACTGCCGACTTAACTCCTCTTGGTTCGAGGCAACACATGTACTGATATCCTAGGATACAATACTTCCTGCAAGACACTTATACACATAAGTGCGTTGGACTTTTTGTTTTTGTATCTCCCTCTCGACCTTATCGGGATGGTTAACTCACTGCGTACAGAGAGCAGCTCTCATATTCCTTTTAAAATTTTTAAAAAAAATGTATAAAGTTCGATCTATATACACTTCTACAAATACTTCATTATTTCTATAAAAATAGTTATGTATTTAATTCGTTTGAAAATTGAACGACAGAAACTGCATTCAAACATAAATCGAAGAAACTTCAAAATACAAACACGATATAAAAAGAACGGTATGAATCAGTTCTATTAATCACTGATAATATTTTAAATTTAAACACAATCAATGTAAAGTTAAAGGAAAGTTAGTAATCAAGAAAAAATATACAAAAATGAATATGTTTGATGTAATACAATTTGAGACTTTGGAAGTAAGATAAATAATTGATAAATCTTTTAAATTTTAATTTTAATCTTTGGTTTAGGTCGTAGATCTACCCGTACGCAAGAAATTTAAGTATCCGATTCATCGGCATTATGGATATTTGAAAAACATTCACACCAAGTTTATCGAAGCAGAACATGCTTTAAGATATGTATGTTTTGGAAACAAAAATATAAAAACATATCAATCTATAAATCACTTTGCGTATGAACATATAAAAAAGTCTCATAAAATGAAAATGTAAGTAAAAGACTTGTTAGTTTGTAAGATTCCATTTTATTTGTTATTTTACCATTTTTAGCCGAAATAAAGATCAACCCGTGGAAACAAAAATAACACATTCCACGTCTTCAGACGTTTCCGACATTTGGAACGGAGCTTCGTCTGTTGCCACAACTCTCTTGAGTGACAAAAAGGATTGTGCAGCCTCCAAAATCGTATAAATTTTAGACAAAGGTGTAGTTGCTCCGGATATTAAGGCACTATAGATATAGTATTAAGGCACTATAGAATATTTAAATTAGTTTTTTAAATAATAAAATTAACAGTTTATAGAAATAACGTTTGTTGTTTGGAATTTCACTTTTATTTCAAATTTTATTTTTCAATTGCATTTCACTTATAAATAGCGTAAAAAGCAAAACTTATAAGCCACACTTATAACTTTTGGAAATTAAAAATTTAAATGGGTCATAAAACCGTAAGCTAAAAGTAAAATTGGTAAACTACTGTTTTATGGTGTAGTTTGTATCAAAGTATATATTCGACTCTCCGTTTACATCACACTAATGCAATCACTCACCAATGTTTGTATACAAAAAATTTCCTTAGCTAAAAGAGTAAAGCAGTATACCTTCTTATTTTCATTTTTATATTATTTCTCTGGTTTATTTTTAAAAAATGAGCATTTTCTCTTTTCTCTTTTTAAAGTTTTTGCAAGTTTTATCCCAATCAGACCTTATGTAAATTTAATAATTTATTTGACTCGGGATTAGGCGTATCTTTATATAGTTTTAAAGAGTATTTGAAGTTGCCATTGACAATCGTAAATACTGTACATCGATACTATTTTTAACGATATATCGAGTAATCGATTTTTATAAAAAAAACACTTTTAAGCTGTAGTTGCCAATCGTACTTAAAAGTATTTTGTTTAGGCGAATCAAAACTAATATTGAAGAATTAATTAAATGAAATGTAGGGCAAAGGAAGTTTTACTTTTTACTAGGTTTGAGATGAAAATATCGAAATATGGATAAATAAGAATGAATTTTTCATATTTACTCGATATTTATAATTTCAATATATTAGGAAATCTATTAACTTGTAAGTTCTGAGGCATCAGAAAATTTCAGTCTGATACGTATACATTCATTAGAATTTTGTCGTAGATATTTAATCTTAGATTTTGTATATAAAAATGTACATACACAAGTGTATAAATTATTAAACTCGGCCTTTAAACTCTCCTAGAATTCTTTAGACAACTATAGAAACTTTTCCGGCTAAAAAATTTGATAATTTTTATGATGAGTTCAGTGTTTTGTGGAAATAAATATAATAAAATAAAAGTAAAAGTTTTATAATAAAATCATAATTAGGAGCATTATTAGAACTGAAATAAGGTAAGTCTGTAAATCCGAAAAGTCGTTAACATTTCTTTTTCAAAATTAGTTATTAAAAATTATCTAGATTAAAATTTTTCATTTTTCATTTTGAATAATTATGATTTATGAATTTTTCAATCAAAAAAGTTTTTTTTCTCATAGCGATTTTAGATATGAGGGGAGGACTGCAGGAACTCGAGGAGGTTACTAACTGTAACCCCAATTCGATTTTAACTTTAAGCACCCTATATTGGGTTCATGTGTCCTCTTCTTTTCATGCGACGAAGAATTTCGTTGTTTTGTACCCCTCGCATTTCAGCATTTTGGTGATATTCTATTCTGTTGATATGCTTGATGGTGAATTTCCTGATTTCCTCATGCACTGCGCTCATATTCAGGTCTCGGTGAATTGTGGTGTTTCTAAAACACCAAGGGGCCTTCACAATATTGCGCAGCACTCTGCTTTGAACGGCTTGAATAATTTGCATATTAGATTTCCTCGTACTATCCCATAACTGTATTCCATACATCAAAATCGGTTTCACGAACTACTTGTATATTAACAATTTATTTTGCAGACTGACTTCTGAGTATCGGGCCATCAGCCAATTTAGCTTTCTGATTGTGATATTTAGTTCAATTTTTTTCTTTTTCAGATGTTCTTTCCATCGTAGTTTTTCATCTAAGGTCATTCCAAAATACTTTGCCTCGTTTGCAAATTTGTTGCGATAGGTAAAATTGACATGCACGGATTTGTCTTGATTTATCAATGTTCTCCACATTTTCATCCATATCACTATGTCATCTAGCGCCTTTTGCACATTCTCTGTGCTCTCCGCCACCGTTCTACCCACGGCTAAATTTTTTTTTTTATTCAAATTTACAATATGTATTCAAGATTATAATATTTTAGGTCTAATAAAAGTATGCTATAATATATAATATAACAATTTATTATTAACATAAAATTATTTCAAAACTTAATTAATACAAAATCTAAAATTACACAATATTATATTGTTACAAAAAATATTAAAATCTGAATGAAAATTAGAATAAAATAGAAAACAAAATTATAAACTATGCAGTAGTGAGAAAATCACTAGTGTTGCATAGCTGTATCTTAATACAATTTATATATAAATAGTAAATAGTAAAAAATAGCTGTGTCGTCCACAAAGGTGGTAGTTTTAGCCAAGCCAAATTGGGGAATATCTGGTGTACAACAAGTATAGGACAGGACCGGACCCAGCATACTACCTATGAGGTATTCCAGTCGCAATTTGTTTTATTTCGGAATAATTTTCATTCTGTTTCACTCTGAACGTTCTATTTTTTAGGTAAGACTTTAGGATTCCACATATTTTCTTTGGCAATACTTGCAGTTTGGCAATCAAGCCCACGTGCCTGACCTTATCAAATACTTGTGCAATATCTAAGAATACTTTTTTTCTCTAGTGCGTTTTCAATGACATTAGTGATTCTGTGAACCTGTGTTGTGTAACACCAATTATTTTGAATTCTAAATTTCTTATAAATTTTCTCATTTATTTAAATTACCAAAATTGCTAAAATTGCTAATTTGTCAAACTTAATATTAACGCACATGTATTTGCAAACATTATATTTAGTTAATGTAAATATTTTCCCATACATAACTTTCTTACAATATTTTACTAAGAGTCAAATTACATATCTTCTCTTGCATTGTGGTAATGTATTTCCTTTTTTCGAAGTGGCTCTATTTGGACAATTAATTTTAATATTTGCTTTAATTTATAAATTTTATCATGTCTTCAGTTCTGTCAAATGTTAACATGAAAAGAGGCAGTTGTCTTTTTAAAGTTATTAGTTTAACTTTTGAATTTTTAATTCTTTCGGTTTTCATGATATTCACAGCATCTAATATTTTTTTGCCCTGATATTGGATATAATATCTTGTTTATCGCATCTCTAGACTCTAGCCACTACTTTCATATTTCTATTATTTTTATCCTCGTATGTGAACCATTGTGCTTTTTCACTATCCAATTTTCAAAAAAGTAAGAAAATTTTGAGGAAATTATTAGCAGCCACAAATCGGTAATAATAAATGTCATTGTAGCTAAAACCCCCAAGGCACCTTAAATGTGTCGTTTATGTAAACAGTATCTTCGATGGTGTCGTATACCTAAACAGCACCTTAAATAATTTATGATGTAATCCACAGCTGACAAATATTTTTGTTATGTCAAAATCTAATCTCTGTTCTCCAGATAGTGATAACAATTTTTATCTTTCTTTTGACATTTTTGTTTCTAAATATATGTATGTTTATATTATATGTCAGTGTTGCCCGATTTGTTTCCCAAAAATTCTCACAAAAAGTTGAGAGTTCCCTTTACTTTATTACATATTACAATTTATATTCTTTTCAAAGCAAAGTTAAAATGTAATTTCTTAAATTTACTTGTTTAAATTAAACTTGTTTATTAGACTAATCTCAATATTTTTGCCTGATTTACCAGATACTTGAACATCAAATAGCTAAAAGAATGAGTCAAAATTTGAATATATTGTAATATTTTGAACAAAATAGAATTTTGTATTTTAATAATCTGCTATCAATGTTTATTTCTTTCACTGTCCTTGCATTTATTTTTCTTTCAAACATTTTTTAAAATAATGTATTGATATATGAATGGTTTACCATTATATTTATTGTATATATTACAATACGTAATATATTTGATATAATATATATTACATGTATGCAATATTCATTATCATATCCCAAAATATTTGCAATTAACTGAAATTAAAATTGACCTTTTGTTGAAAAGTGTTTCCAGATACAAAAATTTTTGATTTTAGGAAATTTTAGGAAGAAATTAACATTAAAAACAAATAAGGTGAAAATTCACGCGATTTGGGTTTTTTCCCTTTCATACCATAAAATCCTCACGATCTGACAACAGTGGTTTATATAATATCTATAGTTGTATTGTATATAACACATCAGGTAAAATATGATGACGGGGAATTGAGTCGTCGTAGCTAAAATTTAAGTTTATACAGCTTATTTGTATTGCATTATTCAATGTTAACGTAAAGTTTTAAATTTTGTATGTATATATATATTTTTTCGATTAAAGTTTTTAGCTTTTACTTTAACTTGTTTAAAATTCATTAAATAAATACGGGCTGAAGGGATTAATTAGCACGATGTTTATATGGATATTTTTCGCTGTAACCGGTTTTAAAATTTTATTAATGCCGGCATAGTAAAGTTTTATGCTTTTATTTGTAGAATTTCGATTAATTTTTTAATTTTAGCTACTCTACTGATTTTGAAGTTCATCGGAATTGGATGGCTATAACTCATAATTTACCTTTATCCAAATGGTGAGGTCTAAAACATTGAAAACATTTATTGTTTGCATGTAAAGAATTCAGTACTAAATAATATTGAAATATGCCCATTTGAATATTTGTAGGTATTATGAAAATTCGAGTGAATGGACATTAGATTATCCTCCTTTTTTTGGATATTTCGAATGGATTCTTTCTCAATTTGGCAATGTTGTAGATCCACAAATGATTAAAATTGAGAATGTGAACTACAATTCGACTAAAACCGTTATTTATCAAAGATCGACGGTGATTGCCTCAGATATTGTCTATGCAATGGGTGTTAGGATGTAAAATTTAATACTATATGCTATTAATTTATTTATGCTAAACTTACATAAATTTTAGGAGCCTTAGAGCGTTGAATTATAATTATGGAACTAGATTTAATTTAGGATCAACGCTTTTACTGGCTAATGTTGGGTTGTTGTTAGTTGATCACATACACTTTCAATACAATGGATTTTTATGTGGTATTCTACTCATAAGTATGAGTTTAGCTTTGAAACGAAGATTTCTGTTATCAGCTTTGTTCTTCACAATACTGATAAACATGAAGCATATATTTTTATATGTTGCACCCGTTTTTTGCGTATTCTATTTGAAATTTTACTGTTGGGAGAGCAAGAAACCTTTAATTAGTTTTTTAAAACTCGTACTTGTTGGATTATCAATTTTTTCTATATCGTTCGGACCGTTTTATCAACACATTCCACAGGTTTTTTTTTTTTGGTTTGAATTTTTATTTTACTAAAATAACCTAATTTAGATATTATCTAGATTATTTCCATTTAAAAGAGGTCTAATGCATGCAAATTGGGCACCAAATTTTTGGGCTTTGTACAACACTGCTGATAAACTTATAGCAATATTAAAAGGAAAATCAGATTTTAGCGGAAAATGGACTAGTGGTTTAGTTCAAAATTACAGTCATGATATGCTGCCTTCTGTAACACCTTTTGTCACTGTTGTTCTGACGGTTACATTTATGATACCTTGTCTTGTTAAACTATTATTTTTCACCAGTCCAAGGTAAAAAAAAATGTAAATTTTTCTTTGTAAACAGTTTATTTTCCTACAGGAATTGTTACCGAGATTTTATCAGATCTGTAGTGGTTTGCACTTTAACATCTTTCATGTTTGGATGGCATGTTCATGAAAAAGCAATACTGATAGTTATTATACCATTGAGGTAAAACATTTTATATAAACAATGAAAATTTCGATTTAAACTCAATTTTCCAGTCTTTTGACTTTGCTTGACTATCTGGACGCAAAATGTGGATTTATTTTGTGGTTTGCTGGGCACTGGTCTTTACATCCTCTACTTTTCAAACCAGATTTACTGCTAATTAAATATCCTTTATTATTCGCCTTCCAGTTCGGATGCTTTGAAGCGATGCGTACAATGTACTCACATTTTAAGTTAAATATTTTTGAAAACTTGTACATTTTTGCATGCATTCCTTTAATACTGTACCAGGAAGTTTTGCAATATTATATATATAATTTGAGTGAAAAACTGCCGTTTCTCCCATTATTATTAACTAGTTTATATTGTAGTGTAGGAATTTTATACTTTTATATAAATTTTTACATAATATTTTTAAGAGGGAAATCGTGCAACAGGCAAAGTCAAACGAAAGAAAAAGAAACGAAATCTGCAATTGCTGTTTCTAAAAATAAGCAAAAACAGAAATCCAAAAAGACTAAAGTACAATAATTTTTTAATCTGAGAATTTTTCCTAAAGTGAAAAAAGCAAATTTATATTATTGAAATAATTTTTTAATTAATTAAAGGCGCATACTTTTTTTAAATCTTCGTTTTATTTCTTTCCTTCAACCATTATAATATGATATCCAAATTTTGTTTTAATTGGTGGATCAGTATAAATAGGGTTGTTTAGGTTTGAAACAGGTAAAGCAAATGCTGCATCTTGAAATGGACCGACCATAGACCCTCGGCTTTGCCAACCAAGGCTTCCACCTTGTCTAGCTTTATCTTCACTAGAAATTTCGTAACACAATTTTAATTTTTTATAAGAAAATAGAAAAATACAAAATTCACCTATATGTTGTTGCAACCTCATTGAATTTTTGGCCAGATTTAAGTTTTTCCAATGCTTCTAATATTTTGCTTTGCTTTTCGCATAAAATATGTCGCACATTCACAGCAGTTCCTCCTTTGACTTCTTTTGAAGCTTTCATTTTTTTTGAAGTTACGAAATAAAGCAATTTTCATTTAGTATTTGTTTTACATAAACACATCTTGCTAAGGACATACATACTACGTTAGGTACATATGTTTAAGTACGTAGTTTGAAAAATGTATGTAGTTAGCAGGAGAGCATTACAAAATTTTATCGATATTTTTTAGCGAAATTATGTAGTATATTAAACCGCGTATAATCTCTTTAATTCTCATTCTGAATTAGTAATTAATATAACTCAAGCCAGAGACCTTTGTATGTATGTAAACATAAACTTATATTAACATCGCAATTTACCTTTTTTATCGTCTGAAGAAGCTTTTCCAGTCTTACTTTTGTCCTTAATTTCTTTTTTTGGGGGCATCTTAATTTCTTAAAATTTATATCTTGAATTTAAGTTAAGTATATGCTATACTATGACAGTAAACGTTATGCTGTCGTTCACTATTTAATTTGAGTCTTCAAGAAGACGTATCAATAAAAGATCTGTCTGATATAAGAAAGTTTTTAATAACTTTTGAAAACTTTACAAAGTTTTTGCATGCAAAGTGTCTAGGATAATACTTTTTGAATAAAATTGAAAAATCAATGTTTAAAATTTTTTCAAGTTTTGTAAAGTAAAATTTAAGTTTTAAAAATCTTCCAGCTGTTGAAACATATGTTTTTCTTGGTTATGTTAGCAGGTTTTATTCTTGAAAAAAAAATTTTCATCAACAATAACTTTTTTTCATAACTTTTCAATTAAAAGTACCGTAAAACAACCAAAATGGCTTCACAAATGGTTTTTTCTATGTTTCAAAATCAAAATCAAAATCAAAATTTTCGGTTTTTGGTATAACCAAAAAATATTTGCTTACGTTTGATAAGTACTTTAAAATTTGACGTTTATCACATATAAAGTTTTTGTAAGTTTTCCGTCTGGTTCATTTTTTTTTTTCAATGAGAATTTTTTTTCTTATTATGAGAAATTTAGTCATTGTTTCTCTTTTTGAAGTTTCTTCAAGTTTTATTCCAGATTGATCTATAGTCAGTCACACTTAAAGTTTATTTAAATTTTTTGAAAATTATATGAATACATATACATACATAAAACATACAAAGAACGCCTTCAAAAATTACAATTAATATTTTCTTTTCTTTATTCGTTTAACCTCCGAATGGTTTGTGAACTAGTTTATTGCCGGTTCAATGTTTTGAAAACTAGCCTTATTTTAAAAAAAACGGCATTAAACTGACCTACACGCTACACAACGGACAAATGCGGTTATTGGAGTTGTATTTTCTATTTTCTTCCTAAAACTGGTTTCATTGGTTTGCCGGTTTTGCTGCATAATCTTAATGTATTTTGTTTGAAAAGTTTAACTATACAACTACATATACAATTCTACCGCAATTACATGCTGTAATTCTCAAAAATCTGTCAGAAAAATAAATCAAGAGAAAACTTAGTCCACCTTAAAATATTTCAGCTAAAAAGCGACAAATTAACAAATTTATTTTGAGATTTTCTACTCATCAACCGGTTTTCATTGAAAAATATTTATCCAAATCTTCACTGTATAAAGGAAAATAATTTTCATTTAATAAAAAATTATTTATCACATACAAGTTTGAATCTTCTCACATAATTTCTTTTTATATTTTGAATCAAAGTGTTACAGACATATAGTACTATTGGATAAAATATTTAAAATGAAAATTTCTTCACTACACTTCATGTACATTTTATTCTACCATCTACTTTCTTTTTATCACATAATTTCTATCAAATATATGGTATAAACTAATTTTGCTTAGAAAAAAAACCTTTCCTAATAAAAATTATGTCATCCAAATTAATTGTAGTTTAAAACAAAGCAAAAACAAATGTTTTCTTTCCTAAATCAAAGACTTAATATATTTACGGATTATAAATTAAACTTAACCTAATTTGATAAATGTTTCTTTTAATTATCAAAATAAATAATATTCACATGCATATGGTGAAATACATTCATTTTTTTCAAATCGGAACAACAATTTGGGACTATATACCTTCCCTTTCCTCAAAAATTTGGTAAAATTGCCATTTTATACTTTTTTAATCACTTTTTATATAATAACAGTTCTTTTCCGTCACTTTATACATTTTATAACATTTCATTTATAAACTACACTAATTTAATAAAAAAAAAAATCCCAAATCTTTTTGTTTAGAATTTATACCAACGTCGCTTACTTTAAAAAAAAGCACTACATGTGGCATTTAATATTAATTTTAATTTGGCAATGCTTGGAGCAAAGAAATAGACTTTTTCTTATGCCTTTGGCTTCGCTGTGTATGTTACTTTGGAAAAATTATATTTTTGTCTATTTTCATTTCGAGTTTTATATACGAAAAGTTTACTAACACCTAAAAGCTTTTGTACTAAATAAAATTTGAACTTTTCTGAATAATGTATCAAAAATTCAAATTTTAACTACAACTTTTATTAAATATGATTTCGAGTTCGATGTCAAGCGTAATATTTTATGTGAAAGAATTGAGAGCAAAATCGGTTTGTGCTTTTAAAATTTCAGCTAAAAAGTGAAATAAAAGTAAGGTTTTTAATTTTTAAATCGGGTTTTTGCGTAATCAATTAAATTAAAATTATAAAAATTTTATATGAAAGTTTAGAATTGATATTTTTAAGATCCACAATTTTGATGAAGGAAGAAAATTTTTTTTTCATATAGTGAATTAAAAAGAAAATTGAATGTGCATATTATTAAACAAATAAATTTTTTGTGTAAACATTTTTAAATGTAATTTTAAATTATGTATTTTACTAATAGATTAAAGTAAAAAAAAGAATAGGAAAATATTGAAATTTAATGAAAATATTATATGTAGAGAATTAGAAGTACCTGTTATACTCGTATTATATTATGTATAATATATTTTTTTATTGTATTTTATTTTTTTTAAAGTATTTTTATTTGTTTACTTGTTTTGTAATGTATTTTAGTTTTTCTAAACTAATATGCTTTAATTTTAGGTAAGTGGGATTAGGTCTACTGGGAAACCATTATTTTGTATGAGTGCCATTTTTTCTACCTCTGCAAAGTAGTGTGAATAATTTTATTGAAATATGAAAGTACTATTTAAAAAAAAAATAAATACATTTTAGTAAAATTATATAGACGTATTTTAATATAATTAATATAGCATAGTTAATAAAAATGTAATTAGCACATTTATTTATATCAAATGTTTGCATAAAATAAATTTGCAAACAATAAATTTTTTATGTTTTTGTAACACGAGGCAAAAGAATGGTAGAACTAGTAAAACAGAAACAAAATTGGATTTTTACTTTTTATAACTAGAAGTTTGGAAAATGTTGATCTTGTGGGAGAATTATTATGAGCTTCTTGATTATTATGACAATGTATGAATTTGAAATTAGATTTATGTGCTTCTATAGGAATATGTGTAAATTCGTCAGCTGTGAAATGGCACTCTCTCAACCGTGGTTCTCTATCAAAGAATTGAAAAATAATGCTAGAGAAAGGAGCATTTTAAAAAAATATTCAAACTTAATTTTTAAAGTTGTAGAACAAATTCTTGCAAAGTCCGAAATGTTTCTTTCTTTAGACTGATCATTGTTAAACTTGTAACAGGAGCGATATAATTCCAAAACTTTCATTCAAAATATAAATTAAAGAAATATATATTTAAAAATACATATTTGCTATATCTGTAAATATTTTGATTGTTTTGTGAACCTGGTGGCCTACCTATGTAGTGCTACTTTCATTAAACGATTCTAGCATTTTAAATTTTGACACTATGTAAATCAAATATCGCAAATTTGCGTATACGAAAGTAGCAAAAGTGGTACTACAGAATGCCACTTTCGCATTCACTTGCCATTTTGTTTATGAATCTTATTGCGAAAGTCTAAGTTTTTGGAAAAAATAAAACTAAACAATGTAAGTGTTACATCTAATTTGCTTTATGGAATTAAAAAAACCTTGCATTTCAAATTTACTGCATTGAACTAATTTTTTGTAATTAATAATTATAATTATAGGCCAAAATGAAATACAAAACTATTCCGGTTTAAGATAATAGTAAAATTCGTACACTATGCCTTTCGACTTTCCCCCTTTCCAGTTTTATTTTTATGGGGCTTAACTTTTCATCTATAGTCTTGCAAATTTCAGTTATAATAAGTGAGATGGTTTGATGAGCAAGAGCAATATTTAAATCTTAACATGCATAAAATTCTTTTGCTACCCATGTTTTTTTTTTAAATTAACAATAATCGCTTCCTTAATATTATACATACATTTAAATGTATAGCTATTTTAAAATAACAGAAATGTTTATTTTGAAAAGAACTGTCAGAAATGTCAAAAAAAAAAAATTTTAGAAAATGCTGCCAGCTGAAATTTTTTACAATGCGAAAATACAAATCAACTTACACAAATTTGCGACTTTCGCATTTTTACATAGTAGGCCACCAGGACTGATAGCGTCTTTTGTATTCCTACCCATGAACGTATTTTTTTCAGCCGCGGTGGCATTTAATAAAATTTACTAAAAAGTTTCATAGATTTACTTTAGGACAAGATTTTATTTTGCAGGAGTTGTTTTTAAAATTTAATATTGAACAATCTTCTTAATCAAACTATTTTATTATTAAATTTTCCAAAATACGAAATTAGTCCTTTATTGTATAAGTACTATGCCAAAATAAAACCGGCTTGCAATGCAACCACAAACAGTTGATTATTTATATCTGTTGAACGAAGATATTCATAATTTTGAAGGCTGTCTCATATGATACAGATAAAGATTGAAACGAAATGTCAAAAATCAACCAATCAAAATAAACCACATCTTGGAATATATATCTGTATCTTTCGCGCTTACAGTTGTATTTATATAGCAAAGGTTTAAAAAATATGACATTTTTCATTAGTTCGATTCTTCAACTAAATAACAGGATATAAAAATCACATAACAAACAAAAATAATTGATTTTTATAATACAATAAGTTACATTTCATTTAAAATTATTAATGTTAATCTAAAGAATGCTTAAATACTATTAATACAAAAAAGTAAACAAAATTATCGAGAATAATCAAAGAATTTATTAAAATGACCTTATTGGCTAGTGAGTTATCGTATATGGCTAATGATAAAAGATTAGCCGCATGTCTAATATTATTTTTATTGGAATTATTTATAGATGGTAAGCTTATATTAAGATTTTGTTTGGGAAACAAAATATTTTAATTTATTAAACATAGAGAAATTTGAATTTGACTTTTTTTTGTTTTAATTGTGGTAAATTGAGTGCAAAACTGACGTTTTGAAAATAGAGAAGTTATAAAATCTCTATCAAAATATTCAAATTAATTTTGTCTAACCTTTTGTTATTCTATTTCTTATTGTATTTGAATACAAATTCATTTCTTTTAAAAATTTCAAGGTTTAAGTAATTTGAAAAAAGTTAAACATAAAGACGTGGTAATGCAATATCATATTGTGAAAATTTAGTAAGCATGTGTGTACATACATAATATGTAGGTAGGTACACGTATTTTTATTTCAGCATTAAACTTTTTTTTTAATACAGCCTGGTGCACCTACCTACCTACTGTGGCAATTTTCACTCTTTTTTTGAAGCAACTGCTGAAATTTGTGATTTAGTACCAAGTTTAGTTTTAAGTTAGTAAATAAGTATGTACATAATTCATTTATGACTCGCATTTCATTATCGCGTTTAACTAAATTGAATATTAATATGTACGTACATATATCGCATAGAGGTGATACCGTAACAAAATAATCAAAAACTTTAAGTGCTATATGAAAATTTGATAAAAATTGCTGACAAGCGATTTTTATTCTTTTTAGCTTTGGATCAAATTTTAGAAATATTTTACCTGTGCATATTTATTTTTTAGAAATGTAAGAAAATATTTTTATAAAATGAAAATTAAATCTCACCAAATTTTTTCATGACATACATGAGATACATACATATATTAGCTTCGGAAAAGAGTAGGCGGATATTAAATATATAGAAATGTAATTTCAACTATTATTATCAACTTATGTATCTACGTGGCTAAAAATGATCTATGTATGTACTACACATTAATTTAATTTCAAGTTAGTAAAAGTGAATTTTAGCTGCAATAAATCAGTAAATTCTTTTTTTTTATTTTTATATTTATGTTTTTACATTTGCCTTGTAAAATTCATTGACCTTTTTAACACTAAATTTTTTTAGGAGCAAAATCGGCTACGAGAGCTGAAATCGAAAATCACTTAGAATTAGGAAAAGAATTACTAGCAAGAGGCCAGTTGACTGATGCTCTTATACATTACCATGCAGCCATTGGTGAGTATTTTTACTTATAGTTTAATAACAATGTATTAAATAATTAAATAAACATTTTTCATAATTATTTTATAAATCTATTGCAAACAGTGTTATAAAATTTTTTTTCGGAATCGGATTTTTGATGCCTAATTTTATTAATCTTAAATATCTAAAAAGAAAGGTATCAATTAAATAAAGCTCGGAACACAGTTTTTCTTAAACGACCGACTTTTTTCGATGTGATGAACTCTAAACAACTAAACTAGCTTTTGGAAAAAGGAATTGGTACCATATGGTATTACTAAAAAAAAACAATTTATCCATATAACCCAATATGGAAAAAACAAATCATTTTGGAATTATTTTATATTAAATAAAAAAACATTTCTATTTATTTATATTAGGATAAAGGCACTAGTAGCCGATAAATTGACATATTTTTTAACTGTATATTGTTTTTGAGTTACAAAAGAATAAGGCAAATATATAACGTGTTTCTAAAAGCTGAATTCTTATTAAAAATTTAATTTTATTAAGAATTTTCTTCGGTAAAAATTCTTAATAAAATTAAATACGCCAAAAAAATAATGAAATTATATTTGTATTCAATAATTATAATTAATTTTTAAAAAGTTTTTCAAATAAAAACTACTTTTTCTAATATCCGAACACTTACATTTTGCTGCCGAGCACACAAATTTTCTTGAAATATTAGGTGTTTTTCTATTGAAAAAATAAATCAAGACAACAAGGGTTTATTTTATTTTAAATTTTATTATCCAAATAAGTTAACAACATTTATAATGAAAAGGTATTATTGCAAAGCCAAAAAGGTACAGCACTTCTTATATAATATTTCATCTTTAAATTCAAAACAGAATATTCAAAAAAATTCAAAAGAAAGGTTTTTGCTTTCAATAACTTTAACAAATATGGAAAAATCTCAATTGAGGCAAATAATTTTCGATTTTTCGATCAAACATGATAAACGTTTTGATATCCTCTAGGAGGTATTAAATCGACGGTTTTAAGACAAAAGGAGAAGCAAGTTTCATCATCATTTAAGATTCTTAAAGGATAATTCTTAATATTATACTCTTTAAATAGTCTTCGAGATTGCTAAAGAAAAAAATTTTGCATATAATAATAAACAGTATAAATTTTCTTAAAAACAAATTTCCACTTCCACAAACATTATACTAGGCATTTTAATATACGTATATATTATGTTTACATCAAAAATGGGTATTCTGATGATAAAATTAATTGAATATGTTATTTACTTCATATATTAATTTATTTATATGTACCAATTATTTGCTTTATAAAAAATTAATTATATGAAGAATTTGATTATTTGAATATTAAAATGCACCTCTTTTTTTATATATCCAAAATGAGAATACTTTTTTCGGAAACTGAAAATACATATAAGAAAATTTGGGTTCAAATATCCGAACAGCAATTATTTAGCTAAACATTACTCTTATATTAACGTTTTATGGATTTTTATCCAAATTAGGCATTTTCCAATGAAAAATACTTATCGCTTTATAACTTTTTAAACATTTGCAAAACAGAAATATTTAAGACGAGAAATACAGAGTAAACTATTTTGAGCATAGCGTTCGCTCAAATGATATAAGGTATTCCCTGCATCTGGTATGACATCATGGCAACGAAAATACGGACGAGTGTCAATCGTGTTGTTGCAGTAAATTTAAAGAAAGAACATTATTTCATTTAATAATTACTTAGTTTCTACTAAAACTATTATGTAGTTTTTTCCAAAAGAAATTACGTATAAACTAGAAAAAAGAAATATTTAAAAGAAAATATTAGAAAGAAATAGTCTATAGGAATAATTGAATTTTATTTTTCGATAAATTCTAAGAATGAATTTCAAGAATTTTTTTCTATTGCAGAGGGGGATCCTACTAATTATTTAACACTTTTCAAAAGAGGAACAGTTTATTTAGCTTTAGGAAAAACTCGTCTTGCCATTAGTGATTTCAGTCGAGTTTTAGAACTGAAACCAGATTTCAATGCAGCCAGAATACAAAGAGGTACAGTTTATATGAAGATTGGAGACTATCATAACGCTGCAATCGATTATAGTCATGCTGTGAGTAGTTTTGATTAAAGAAGTTTTTTAAAGAAACTATTTGTTAATTTTTTCTCAGCTTGAAGCAGATCCACATAATTATCAAATAAATGAGCATTATAACCGCTTAAGTCCAGCATTGGAGCAGTGGGAACTTGTACAAGAAGTTAAAGATCGGGGCGACTATAAAACAGCGATTGTTTTGTTAACACAGTTATTAGAAATTTCTCCATGGTCTACTGATTTTCGACAAACTAGAGCTGAATGTTACATAGAAGAAGATGATATTCTATCGGCAATTTCAGACTTACGCTCTGTAAATAAACTTTCTCAAGATTCAACAGAAGGATATTACCGGATAGCTGAATTACTTTATTCAATAGGACATGCCACCAGTTCTTTAAAAGAAATTCGAGAATGTTTAAAACTGGATCCGGAGCATAAAGATTGTTTTCCATTTTATAAAAAAATTCGTAAAGTGGAAAAGGCTTTGGCTGCTGCAGAAGAATATAGAGATCAGCAACAATATCAGGATTGTATTGAGTCGGCTGAAATTGCTTTGAAAAATGAAAAAGAAGTTGCTATGATACAATTTAGTGCTTATCAATTATTATGTAATTGCTACATGAGAAACGAACAATACACAGAAGCAATTGGTAAATGTCGAGAAGCGTTAAATGTGCAAAAGGACGCTGGCGTTCTTTGCGACAGAGCTGAATCATATATTGGCACGGAAATGTTTGATGATGCCATTCATGATTATCAGGCGGCTATTGAGATTGATGAAAATAATCGACGTGCTAAGGAAGGACTAGAAAAGGCAAAGCGTTTGCAAAAACAGTCTGAACGCCGAGATTACTATAAAATTTTGGGTGTAAAAAGAAATGCACAAAAAAAAGAAATAACCAAAGCATATCGCAAATTAGCACAAAAGTGGCACCCGGATAACTTTCATGGTGATGAAAAAAAAATAGCAGAAAAAAAATTTATTGACATTGCCGCCGCAAAGGAAGTACTTACAGATCCAGAAAAACGTCAACAATTTGATAATGGTCAAGATCCATTAGATCCGGAATCCAACACAATGAATGGGTTTAAAAATGGGAATCCATTCGCGCATTTTCAACACGGTTCGCCCTTTCAATTTAAATTTCATTTTTCATAGAAAAATTTCAATTTTTAGGTTACCTTTTTAAAATTTTTTAGTTAACGAAAAAATTAAAAATAGTACGTTTAATAACAAAAACAATTTAACAAATAAATTTGTTTAAATTATTTTTGATTTTTATAAAAACTGAAGGTTTTTAAAATATGTTTGTAGTTTTTAGAAAAATTGCATTTCCTTTCGAACATATCTCTTAAGATTTTCATTAATTTATTTATAAAATATTGCCGTTTGCATCATGTACATATTCAAGTTACAACCTTTGCGATTACTGATTTTATATATTCTCGTTGAGTAACTTTTTATAAAAGATTAAATTGAATATGACTAAGAGAGATAAATCAATAAATTTAATTATTAGAATTGTAAATTAGTAAAGAATGAAATAAATTAAAAAGTTTTTCAAATAATGTACTAATAAATTTTATGAACTATAGTTTTCTTTGTATCAAAAGGAAATTTATGTATATTGAGAGAAAAAGATAGTACCAATATTTTCTAATTAGGAGCTAATTATGTAAATATTAACATAACTTTTAAATTGAAAATAAAAAAATGTAAAAATATTAAAAGAATATTTTTTGTTACTAATTGAAACATTGAATAACTAGAACATAATAAAAATAATTTATAAATTTTGAAATTTCTCTATTTTAAATGTGTAGTACAATACCTTGATAACTTAAGAAAGTCTTAAATCAAAACAACAGTTGGCTTTTCTTCTTTAGTTCTATCCAAGCTATCCAAAACTATTTTTCATAGTTATAAATCTGCCAAAACTATTCATTGAACGTGTTTCGTATTAAACTAAAAGTTGGAATTGAAATATGTACATAGTAAAAATCCACTAGCGTAAATGTGAGCAGTGGTTTTCAAAAAGACTGGAAAAATATATGCATATTTCCAAAGTCTTTTACAATTCGCGTAGTGCCTTCTTAAATTTGAAAATCAAAAAAAAACTATGAGTCTTATGAGATTAAAAACCGAAAATATTACGAAAAGAAACAAACAATCATACATTAAACACAAGACATACATTTTTTACTTGACAGTATACATATTAGTAATCTATAATACTAGTAACATTTATGAAGCAATTTTATCCACCGCCAAAGAGAGTTTATTATAAACTTTGAATGTAGGATTTGTCGGAACGTAAAAATAAACTATGACTAAGCTCTTGGTTTGAAACTAAATTCTTAAAGCTTTTGAGAGGAACAAGGCTGACACAGAAACTTTTCTTAACTGCAATTAGAATCTCACCGCCCTTCGGCGCTAGTGCCTGACCAACTTGTGACGAATGGGACCCGACTCGAACTGGTCCTTCTACAAAGAGCATATGAAGATCTAATATCTCCCAGCCGTTGATTGAACAGTGTCAAGTCTTCCATAACGCAGTCGAGTCAGTCCGAAAATGTCCCAGTCCAAGACGATGGGGTTGCTAAGGACTGCACCCGTCTTAGTCGCAATTCCACGAACGTTCTGATAATAAATTGGTACATTCATTCCAGATGTTCTTGTTAGACGAATATTCACCAAACAATTACCAATTGAGCCACCACTGAACTCAACCAAACTACTTTGAGCCGGAATAGGTTAAGGCACGAAAAAACCTTTCACTAGACTCTGTCATTTTCTGTAAATAGTCAATCACTTACTCTTCAAGCGGTTACGATACGTTTCCGATACCATATCGGAATCCACATTAGGGCTTAGGTGATACCTTTAAAAAATGTTAGACAAAACATCGGGCAGGATTAGATTAGTGGTATATTTCATAATATATTGTGAAGGCAACTTTCGAGATCTTTCGTACCAATTATGAGTGCGGTTGTGTTCCATGTGGTGGGGCTCTCGAGGATTCCTTACATACGAGGATGGCAGTTGATTGTTTCTATTATATTGAGTACGCGTTTTATAACATTTCATTTGGAGTGCTACAACTTGTTACATTGAAGTTGCGACGATTCAATGACGCGTCTGTAGCATATAATTGTTAAGTCTATTTAATTGGGACGGCATAGGATGACGCACTTGCTATACAAGGCCATTGCTAGATCTACTGTTACCTATGCATCTATGCAAGCCAAGTTGAAATATATGCAATAGAGATATGTCAGATAGTAAATTATCTGGTCATTGGGTTCCGGGTGATAGTGGCAATGAAATTGCTGATAAGTTGACGCAGAAGAGGCTCGAGGCTTCATACTTGCAGTCATCTTTTGTTGGACCTCTAGCAGGACGCTAAGCTTGTCTTAATGGAAGACATTCATCGTACGAAGCAATTTGTTCTATATTAATGAACGAAATTTTCCATAAAATTGCTGGAATGGATTGAAATCGGGTTCGTAGCATTAGCAATTTCTAAACTGGACATTATCATTGTCGCACAAATATTAATTACACAAACATGACCTATGGGTAAATATGACCTATTGCGTAGATTCTACCGGATAGATGACAAAACGGCCAAACTTATTTTCCATGACTAATCTGTTTTCGCCACCAGGTAAAGGTAACCTTTGTTAATGATTGGTTTCACCTTTGTTAATTACTGAAAAATCGTTAATGTCTTGTTTAAGCACTATAATTTTTCAAAACTCGCCACAGTCTTAAAGCTCATTTTTCATTGACGCTAGTTCATTACTTAATCGTCGAACCCAAGAAGCAACACAGTTGCTATTATTGGGCTTTAATTAATGGGTAGATAGAATATAATCCGTCATAATAAAGTTCTATATAACCGTAAAATATGTATAAAAAAAACTTTCAGTTCAACGACATTCAGAGAGCAAAGGTGGATATAAGATTTGAAATTTAAAAAGTAAAATAATTTTTATTTCAGGTAAAAGTATTGACTTTAGCAGAAAAGTGTTAAAATTCAATTTTGTGAAATGATGTAATTTTATTAATTTTTGATAAATTTGTATGTACTTTGTAGAAATTTGTCTTCCGAAAGTATAGGAATATTTAACTAACAGCAAAAATCATCAAATAAGTTTGATTACTGAGAGAAGGATGACATAATTGGCTTATTATATCTATGTTTATTGGAAAAGTGTTGTATAAGCGTAAGTTTTTGGTAGAAACTGAACTTTCAAAAATTGTTAAGTCTATTTAATTGGGACGGCATAGGATGACGCACTTGCTATACAAGGCCATTGCTAGATCTACTGTTACCTATGCATCTATGCAAGCCAAGTTGAAATATATGCAATAGAGATATGTCAGATAGTAAATTATCTGGTCATTGGGTTCCGGGTGATAGTGGCAATGAAATTGCTGATAAGTTGACGCAGAAGAGGCTCGAGGCTTCATACTTGCAGTCATCTTTTGTTGGACCTCTAGCAGGACGCTAAGCTTGTCTTAATGGAAGACATTCATCGTACGAAGCAATTTGTTCTATATTAATGAACGAAATTTTCCATAAAATTGCTGGAATGGATTGAAATCGGGTTCGTAGCATTAGCAATTTCTAAACTGGACATTATCATTGTCGCACAAATATTAATTACACAAACATGACCTATGGGTAAATATGACCTATTGCGTAGATTCTACCGGATAGATGACAAAACGGCCAAACTTATTTTCCATGACTAATCTGTTTTCGCCACCAGGTAAAGGTAACCTTTGTTAATGATTGGTTTCACCTTTGTTAATTACTGAAAAATCGTTAATGTCTTGTTTAAGCACTATAATTTTTCAAAACTCGCCACAGTCTTAAAGCTCATTTTTCATTGACGCTAGTTCATTACTTAATCGTCGAACCCAAGAAGCAACACAGTTGCTATTATTGGGCTTTAATTAATGGGTAGATAGAATATAATCCGTCATAATAAAGTTCTATATAACCGTAAAATATGTATAAAAAAAACTTTCAGTTCAACGACATTCAGAGAGCAAAGGTGGATATAAGATTTGAAATTTAAAAAGTAAAATAATTTTTATTTCAGGTAAAAGTATTGACTTTAGCAGAAAAGTGTTAAAATTCAATTTTGTGAAATGATGTAATTTTATTAATTTTTGATAAATTTGTATGTACTTTGTAGAAATTTGTCTTCCGAAAGTATAGGAATATTTAACTAACAGCAAAAATCATCAAATAAGTTTGATTACTGAGAGAAGGATGACATAATTGGCTTATTATATCTATGTTTATTGGAAAAGTGTTTTATAAGCGTAAGTTTTTGGTAGAAACTGAACTTTCAAAAAGTTGAGGAGTTTATGGAAAATGTTATAAAAAGCATATAATGATTATTACATTCAGATACATTTAAATACATATAAAGTGTATGATATGCATAATATGTATTGAACTTTTTGCAATTTTAAAATTGCTTATGTGTTGCAATTTTATTGCATTGTTTGTGTGTATTTAACTATCACGGTAATTTCCATAAGGTTTTTTAGCTTTTCGTATGGTCAAAACTTGTCTTAACAATACAATACTCTTTCAACATTTATTTCTTTTTTTGTTATAACTTTTTGATGTGATAATATAACGTCCTTCACTCATAAATATTTCTTAAATTGCTAATAAAAAGGTTTAGCTAGAAATATTTTCTACAATATAAAATAGGTACGTATGTATTATATTAATTGACGAAGAGAGTAACTTTTATACTAATATTAACATAATGCAAAGGTGTATGTAAATAAAATTTTGGTATGGCAAAGAAGCTTTTAGTATTAAATTAATATACTTTAACCATAATTATACAATAAGCATACAATATACTTTCAACAAGTTTGAATGTGTCAGTATTTTTTTGTTTGGTTTTTATTTTAATTTTGCAGAGAAATATATTCAAGTTAAGAAAAACGAAAGACTTCAATTTTAGTTGGTTTCAGAATGCGAACTCGATTATAAGCTTTTTTGGTACGGAATAGAAGAAAATAATAACTGGCGCGGATTTTGTTTTTCTTTTTTTTTTTACTTTTTTATTTATAAAATTGAACAAAACAATTTTTTGTTTTTGTTTAATTTTAATCTTAAAGTGTTAGTAGTGCATATACATTTAAGAAAATATAATATGTGTTGTATAACTGTACAATAAATACTTATAGATCTTTTCAGTTTTAATATGTTCTATATTACATTTGTATTTTCTTAAATATTAAATTTTTAAGTATAATTAAATATTTATTTTTTTTTTAACTAAGAAATTGAATAAAAAAGTTATTAAAATAAAAGTACTTGTTGACATAATCACAAGCTTGTAATACTTTATTTTTATTTTTATAATTATTTTTATAATAATTATTAAATTCCAAAGATAAAATTGATTTTATAAAAAAATGTTTAGTACAAGATTTGTGTAAAAAACTATTGAAATTAAATTAGAAAAAAAGATTCTCTTATAGCTTAATCCAAAATAAAATATGTATTTATTTAGTATACCTTTTGAATTGAAAAGATTAATATTTTTACCATCAGTTCATAAGATTTATATGTAATATGTTAACATTTTGTTGGTAGTAACAAACCAATACATATATGTATATGTGAAAAAAATTGTAGAAATTAAAAATAAAATGGTTATGCATATACAAGTCATAGTGTACTGGTAAAGTTTAATGAATAAATGCCATGCGATATGAATATATAAATAGTTACATGTATTTTAACATTATTTTGAATATTTTTAGGAAAGAATGAATTATGTATACATATTATATTAATAATAGTTAGTTTAGTATATATTTGTAATAAACAACTAAAAATGATTGAAAACTGTATAATTTCAAATATTTATTATTTACTTTAATTACAATTTATATTTTTACATTTATAATACATATAATATGTTCAAACTTAAATATATGTATCAATAGCCTTATAAATAGCACACGTAGTAAACATTTATATGCATATGTACATATATAAAATTTGTTTTATTTGCGCAGTTGCAACTCATTTTTACCAACAAATTCTTTTATGGAAAAAATTTTGAAAATGTGAACTTAATTTATATGACTACGTGTCACTCTTCCAAAAGAATACTTGCATAACAATAAAATATATAAGTATGTACATAAGTCATAAATAATATGCAAATCTTTATGTCATAAGTACAAAGATAACATATAGAAAATAAATAGGTATAGTGTACTGCATAGTAATTTTCAAAACTATAAATTTTGACCTATTTTAGAAAATTAAATACAAAAGAAGTTTTATAAAATAAATTTTATAAAACTTCTGTATTTTTCGATTTAAGACGTTATTATAACAAAAATCGAGTATAATTATATATAAATAAATCCTATAATATATACATATATGTATATAAATCCTACCGAGGAATAAGAAATGTATTATTATTGTAGAAGAAAGAAATTCAACTGCATTTTTGAAATTTTTGTTAATAATTACTTGTATGTACATAAAAAAATATTAAACAAAAATCAAAAGAAAAAAAAGGCTTAAGTACATATTATGATTATGGACTAAACTAACTAGTACAATAAACTAATGTAAAATTTGTAATACAGATACATTTGAAAATAAAATAGAAAATAATAGTCTTCACACTTTCAAAATTGAGCGGTGGTTTAGCGCAATTTGCAAATGGTTTCTTGTTTTAATAATCTCCGTTTATTTCATTAAACGGAGTTAATATCCTTCGTACTTTTTGTTTTTAAAAAAATTTGTAAATTCTTTACCATTTCTGCAGTTTTCAAGTTTTATTTTACTTTGATTGTTTAACTAATGTTATATATAACATCAGTTACAACATAAGTTTTGTATATTATAATTTATAATAAATTATACATTAGCGTCCAAAACCGAAAGTACAATTTGATCAGGTGGGCTAAATTTTTTTTTATTTCACTTTGCTGCAACCTGCAATGAAGAAAGTTTTTCATATATTGTTATTGTTTTTCGCTATTTATTTAGATTTTTTTCAACATACATGCACATGTATATTTATTAAAAAAACAATATGTTTTTAGGAATAACTAAAGTATGATATTATTAAATGATATTATTAAAAAGTTGTACGCACTTCCTACATTGCTATTCTATGAAATTTAGTCATACTTTTTTAGAGCAATTGGTTAATTTTTTAAAATATTTTTTTTATTGTGAAAGCTGTTAAAGTGCATCATAAATAATAAATTATTAATAAATTTATTAAGAATATATTATTTATTAAGATTTTAATTTATTAAGAATATAAGATTATTTATTATATATTATTTATTATATAATATTAATTTATTAAGAATATATTAATAAAATTAAAATATCAAAAGGTATATTTAATAAAAATCACAGAAAATTAAAAGAACTGTTTATAACTCTAAGCAATATAATTAAAATTGAAAATATTTTAATTAAAACAAATCTTTTTGGTTAAAAATTTATCCTTTTTTTTTAATGTTTTATAACACGAATAGATAAATTTGATTGAGATATATTGATTAAAATATTGAGGGAAAATATTATCAAAAACCAAGTCGGTTTTAGTACAACTTTATACATACATAAACATACATATATTTATTATTTGGATTTTATTTGAGGACAGACAAACATACAAATATTTCATATAAAAAAAAAATGATTTGGATACAAATTTGCTGATTGGTAAAGGTAAGTGCACTTTATCACTTTTTATTAATAATATCCGATAAAGAATTCTCAATTTCATAAAATAATTAACTTGTTTAACAATAATTTTCATGTGAATTTCATTATGTGAACGCGAAATCATTTAAATAGTTGTCAAAATAATTTAGCGGAACTGCTGCAGCTTATTGTGAAATAAAAGTTTAAAAACGTAAAAGGAGTAAAGCGCAAAATATTTATGACATGAAAAACAAGCTACAAACCAATTACAAAAGGCACTTGTTTCGTGAAGTGTTGTATATAAATATATATATATTTATATATGTATGTATATATTTATATATTTTATATATGTACATATGTATGTATGTATATTAAAAATACGAAAGAGCGCTTTTATGTAGAGCGTTTTTAAGTATGATTTCCATGAATGCATATAAACAATTAATAACTAAATACTCGTATACATCTGTTTTTAGTTTTCCTCTTGACTCATGATTTTCTCGATCATATTGCTTTACTCATAAGAGTTATTGTGATCGCATAAATTTCACATACCGGATTTTCAACGGAAATTCCTTTCTTTAAGTTAGAATTACTTTTAGCAGGATGTGGTCTATTGGTAATTTAGTTTGTCTGCCGATGCACTTACATATACATACATATATCTCGAATTTAGCTGGATACGTTTTTATAAAAATTTATTCTTAATAAGTTTACTTTAGATGAATTGATAAACTTTTAGCACAGATCTCAAAAATTAGGCCAAATAAGCAGGATACTTATTTGCCCCCGTCCATATTTGAGAGGTAGTCCTTGTTCGATTTGGATGCCCGCATGCTATCAAAAACTTCTGCATTTTCCTTTTACCTCTGTTATAACGTTTATCACTGCTGTTGTGTGATCCGTTTCATGTGCTCCTTCGTTTGTGTGCTCCTCTTATCTTGTTACTGGTGTCTTCCTCTTGCCGATAAAAAATATAATTATTATTAAATTTTTATGAAACCAAATTTAGTATATAATATATGTATACATATATATATATATATACACACACACATATATATATATATATATATATCAATGCACATAGTACATACATATATAATATTTGAGGGTATGCATACAAAATTTTAACACTGGCATTGGGTGAATCACCTTTTTCATTGTAATTTTTGATAAGTAAAGTAGACAAATGTAGCACAATATTGATTAAGAACTATAGTTTCATTTAAAATTATAAAATCGTTCTTATTTTGCATAAAATCGTTAAAATTAACCCTAACTTTTTTGTGAATCTAGTAAATTATAATTTTCAACTACTGTGAGAAATATGAGCGGTTTACAATATAAAATTAACAAAGCGCTAACGTAAGTTTTAATCTTTAAGTATTATCGTAATTCCAATTTAGAATTCGGTTTTGTATATCAATATATCAGAAAATTGAAAGAAGAAAAATTTACGAAATAATTTAGGATTTATTTGAATTAAGTAGTTGTATAGTTTTTAAAGTATGTTCAAGTATGACTTTTTCATTTTATATTTAACAACTATATATACGCATACATATATATGAATGCTATATGTTAAGAAATCTGCAGGTGAATGCATTTGTAATCAATATAATAATATATGAAAATAAAATAAGGCGGATTTCATGTGCTAGTTTTTTCTTATACAAAAAATTTTTGTAAAGAAAATGAGGATATAAATATTAAAATTAACTAAGAATCATTAAAAAGAGAAAAGTTATAACTTTAACTTTATAAATTATATTCATATGTATATTTTAAGAATGCATAAAGATATTAAACAGAAAGAAAAATAATCGGATGTGGCATAAATACATACTAGAGATATTAAAGTTTGCATAATGTTGCTTTACAGAATTGTCATAATTTTAGTTTTTATACAAGTTTTCCATTTTGATATTCATTTGACTCACAAAAAGTGGTTGTGACAGCTGCGCAAATTCACAATAATATTTTCACAATATAAATTTTTATTTTCGCATAAGTTAATTATTTAAGTAAAAAGTTATGTATTTGTTGAAAAAATAATTCATTAAATAAAATTAATTTTAATACAATTTTAAAATAATATCAATAGCGAATAAATTCTTTTCGTGAGTCCGTGACATGTAGCCTTAGATTTCAATTCAAAATATGTATACCTACATAAAAGTTTATTCAACGATTAATTTTTTTTCACTAATTTATTAAAATTGTGAATTCATCATATATTCATAATCAATCATCCTACATTTTATTCCCGTTCTTTTTAATTAACATTTTTTGCTTTTCAGTAGTGTACTCAAATCAAATTAATGATACAAGTTTAGGCTATATAGAGCGGCGAATGTCTTCATATGTTTATGAATTTCATTGAAGTAATTTTAAGTCTTTTGTCTTACTTAGATAGAAGTACTAAATTGTTATTATTGCAATAATTACATTTTAAATAAATATGAAAATCATTTTTTTTTGTAAGCAGATCTAAAAATAATTTGATCAATTTTGACACTCAAGTATAATTTGATCATGTTTTTCATATAGCCGCGACTACTTATATGAAAAATTCTGCAATTTTGCCAGGTATGTGTGCTTGTAATTAATTGTTAAAATTATTTTAAGTAAAAAGTAAGAAATTCAAATTTGCGATTTGTTGCATGTTTACGTACACATAATATATATGTATATATACATATATATATATGTCATATATATGAATATAGAGAACTTTTGGATAAAAACTCCTAATTTTTGGTGTCGCGAATGTTCTTTTTAATGCTGCAACTCTTAAGAGTTATACGATTAAAATTTTATAACTTATAATAATATTATAAAATAATATTTTATAATATTATTATATGTTAAGTTATAAAATTAATTAAAAATATTATAATTTTAATATATATTAAATTATATTATAATATAAAATTTATAAATATTATAAAATATGGTACAATCATCTCTTTTTTAATTCTTGACTAATTACACAAAATTAACAATTAAAACCTGGTATAAATTGTTTATTTATATTGTATAGAACGAGAAATGGCGTTAAATTGAATAAAATAAAGAAAATCGAAGAGAAACTTTGAATATACAAAGATTTTATTTTAAAATTTGATAATTATTTTTTTTAATATAACGATGTTTAATAAAAAAGGTCTTGTTAAAAACCTCATTAATTTAAAATTTCAGTTGCATTTTTTTCCAATACTCGTTTATTATCTTCTTTAATGAAATCTTGTTTGTTCAGTATATTTAATTTTTCTTTTCACTTAGTTTACTTTAGGGCATGCAATCAAATGACCTTCAGTGTTTACTTTCATGAAAAAAAAACAAGATTTTGAAAAGAGCAAAAAAAAGCGTACTAAAGTCTAAAGGAAGGCTGTCGGGTGTACTATAAAACGTCGTTTTTATAAACTTTTATATATATAAAAAATATGTCGGTATTCTCATATATCATATGGAACATGTAAAGAGTTGGTTGCTTGTTCTCTTTATTTTAATTTTTTTTTAATTAAATGGTTTAATTTGAAAATTTATTGTAAAGTAGTACCTTAGGACGTGATCTTTTTTCTTTTATTTATTTTTAATTTTATAAACTGGTTTGAATGACGTCAAGGTCATATGAATTTGTAAATTTAATTAATAAAAGAACAAGTTAGTACAAAGAGTGCACTTTTTCATATTAAATTCAAAACTGATCAAATAATTTTTGAGATAAATGCTGTATTAAAATCTTTGGTTAAATATAATATGCGAATGAATTAACTGCAATGTATTAAAGGTTTAATTAAAGGTATCTTTATATGTGCAGAATGTGAGATAGAAGCAACGATTTTTGAGATTAGTATTAATTAATATTATATGATTTTATAAAAATAAATCTTGTGTGGTTTTAACAAACAAGGAATGTACATACGTTAAAAATAGCTTGCAATAATAATATGACTTATCCACTTTATTTTTTAATAATTTTCATGTAAACATTTTAATTAGCATATTGCATTCAGTATATGAAAAAATTGTATTTCAAAAATTCTATTTTACTAATTAAAAGTTGTACTAAGGATTTTTCGTAAATTTAAATATTTTTTTTTGCTTAATCATATTAATAATTTAAAGAAAAGATTTGGCAGTGAAAATAAAAAAACTTCCTCAATTATTAAATTAATTATGTTTTGAAGTTTTAATTTCAAAAAAAGTTATTCTCTATAATTGATATTATACCAGTATACGTTGTTTGATTTCTGGAGAAATCCTTCAAGTAGTTTAGAACTATTAAAATTGAAATTTAGGTTAATTTTGCTTTGACTTAATTATCTTTTTCGGTTTACCATGTTGGTGACGCATGTTAGCTGTGGCACTAAAGATTGTAAAGACTAAAAAGTAAATTTTTTATCGGTTATATTGTTAACATAATTTTTTGCAGTTTTAAAATGCTCGTCTTAAATATTTTTATAAAATATTTAGAACTATTTTTGTACTGTGCAGTTAATATTAATTTTAGTTTATGTTTTATATTTTATGTTTTATGAAAGTGGCAGTGCTATTCCTGATGCGCTTTGAAAAAATATCCCTCCGTTTTTCGTTGCCTGTTTTGTAAATTACTTTAATACAGAAATCTTTTATCTTATATAACAGTTTTGACCGTTATTCAAAAGGATTTTTAGTTTATTTTCAAAGCGAATTTCTTTATACGTGACAAGACGGACGTGGGGATGTGTTTTTCTTTGTAATTCACCCCCCTCCCGGATCCAAAGTTTGATAAATGTCAATTTTCGCTTTTCTGTTTCTTCGAAACTGTAAGTTCTGCTGAACTTATAAAAAATACAATATATTATTTGTAAAATATAATATATACGTTCGTATTATTATTTTAAATCAGAGAAAATATTTTTAAATTAAACTGCCATATATTATCTATATGTAAATGTAAGTAAAACTTAAAGGTGTAAGATTTTAAGAAAATATTTTATAAAATTTATTCAAAGTCTAAGTTTTTAAGAATA